TTGTGGCACTTCTAATATTTCAAAAACACTGAAGTTCTCTCTGTATATTCAGTGGTTTTCAACTGATGTGTTATTGGGATAGATGCTCTCGTCTGTTTTTATTGCTATTGAGATTAATGTATCTTGTCATAAGTAGGTTGCTCTTAAATGTAAAACTGCTTAAGGGTATCTTTTACTGCTCTGCTTCCTATTGACTTCTTGACAGATTTGCCCTATTTTGCTAGGCTATTTGCCACTGAAGCAGTTCAGTATCTCCACCCAATAAAGGGACCAGTTCAGAGTGTGTTGTGTTAAAAAAGCTCCCAGAATAAACAGGGCAGTAGCCACAAGAACCTTCTGTTTTCTAAAACCTGGCTTTTAATGCTCATCTTTGTAAAAGATCAATTTTAGAAATTATTTTAAAAATTATTTTATTGCTCATTACGTTCCCAACAGCACATGTGATTTCACTGGTGTTGGGCCAGGTGTATTCTAATAAGTGTTAGCATTTAGTATTATTAAAATTTATTACAGGCTTTTCTTAGCACTAACAGTTATTTAACACTGGTATAAATAACTTTTTATAACTGTAATAAATTGCAACAAAATATAAACAAATTTGAAGATGCACGCTCTTGAAAGCAATACAAACTCTGGGATTTATGTTTAGAATATAATCTTTCTGCTTGGAAAAACGTTGCATATTTTATTTCATTAGTCTCCCAGTTATTTCAGAATGCTTGATAGGAACATTAAAGTAACTCTGGCACGTAGCAGTCTGACAGAATACATCTATACTAACAATATATAATGGAAAGCCTAAGTAACATCATGCTGTGTTTTTGTGCTTTGAAAGGAGCAAGTTAAGGAATTAATACTCCAGCTGCCTCTCCGAGAAGAAGAGCTATATTGACTAAACGAAGATGATGTAAAATGGTGTTTTGTAGTTCAAGAAGATCAGTGAGTTTTAAAGTTGGTGGTTTCTAGATAGCAGGTCCTGGTTGTTGGTAATGGGAAGGAGGAGGGGCCTCATCAGTTCTTCTGGTGACAGCGTTCAGTGCAGATAGTGATCTGTCAGTGCCCTTCTTGGGTGTCCATTGTGCTTTGAAAGTCACAACTGCCAGTTGGGCCATGTTCTGAAAGCCAGAATTTTCCTCGTGTTTAATGCTGTGGATTTTAAAAACAATGAATGAAACTTTTTTTGATCTCCAATAGTATGATTTTTTATCAAAAAAGAAGCCAGGTATTTTCATTAAAGCATAAGGAGCGTGTCAGCCATTAAGTTGGTGCTGAGAGATGAAGATGTGCATCATGTGAAGGAGAGGGACGTACGGGGTGTTGGAAACAAACCCAAAGGAATGCTGCTTGATTTGCAACAGCAGTGTAAGTGAGTAAGTCAGAAAATCTTTGGCACTCACTGACATTAACTTCGACACAAGATTAACACCGTGCGATTTCTGATCATCTTTGTCCAGGCTTAACTTGTCAGAGTTGATCCATACATTGCTGGATTCGTAAGGATTAAGGTGGAGAAGATGAAACATAAGAATCATTTTGTTGTACTACCGTTGACAAAGTATCTGCTGATGTTCTAATAATGCTCAGATTAGAATCTGATAGGATAATATGGTGTGAGGGATGAGCAGGTATTTTTGTGCAGGAGAATTCAGGAGCTGGGGCCAGGTATGATGACTCTGTAGGTCCTGACCATGCCTGAGTGTTCTATTTCAAAAGTGTGTTTTCATATCCTCCAATAAAACAGGAAGCACACTTGCCATGTCTGCAGTGTGTGTAAATCCCAGCAGTGAAATATTATATTGCAAAACAAAAAGGTAGCAGGATTGATGCAGGAGTGCAGCAAAGCACCTGCATCTTAAGAAGTCTTAGGCTCTGGTTGTGTTTTTCTTCCTCCCCGTGGATAGCTGCAATACTGATTGATTTTTTCTTTCTGCTGCTGTTCAGTAATTTGTTTGCATGTTCATTTCCCATTTGTAGTTTTGGGATAGACGTAATTAATTTGCCTTACAAGTTTGTAAAGTTTGAGGTTTGCGTAACAGCCTGAGCTTTTCACATCTATATTTTGAATTTGTGTGACTGCACATGAATTTTAGTGGTGTTACTAAAGATTATGCCATTATGATATCCAGGAAGCACTGGTTCCCTCTGTTATGGATTCTCTGAAGGGAGACTCAGTTAAAATGTGTGGCATTAGAAGCGCAGCTGAAGATGATGCTAAAGCCTGGAGGTAATCCGATAGTCTTTAAGATTAAAGGTGAAGATTAAAGAACCAAATCGGCCTTTTGAAGATATGAATGCAGGAATAGGAGATTCCAGTTGATCTCTGTATTCCATCATGCCAGCAAGGTTTATCCTGGATTTTCTCTTCTGGTTTTAACAAGTCTGAATGAATTCAGTTTAGAAAGGAGTTCAGTTCTGCACATCTGTAAAGCATAATCTTTTTTAGCCCATTTGTTTCCTTTAGTAGCTTCAGGTGGACTCAATGAATAAACCCGGAATGACACAGTTGCATAGTAGCATAGTTTTGGTAGTATATTCTATGGCATACTTTCTTTGTAGCCTTTTTTAGAACGTGGTGATGAGCATTTAGTAGTGAAGCAATTACCCTGTGTAAATCTGTGTCTGAATTTTTATAGATTTCTGTATACAAGAAAATAGCAGTAGTGTTTATGTAGTGTTTTCTGTCCTAAGAATGCCTGTATTTCAGAGGTGTGTTTTAAATAAGATCCAACTTGCTTTTTGTAGCAGTGTTTTTATGTTATTTGTGTCCATGCTTACAAGTTGGGAGATGCTGATAGCAATTAACTGAAGAAAAGGCGTAAATACACATTTTAAAAAAATAAATTGCTTAAAAAAAAAAAAAAGCCAAGAAAACAGTAAAAGGTAAGTAAGGATTTTGTTTAGGTAACTTAAATTTAAATAAAAAATATGTAAATTCAGTCTATTGACAGACCAGTACCAAAAACATGTGAAACTACTGAGTGAACAACTGCATCAAAACCAGTCGTATTAATGTGCTCAGGGCAGTGGAGGGATCAGCCCACTTGGTTTTGTTGGTTGCTTGCACTGACACGCTGCAGTTGAATGTACCTGTATGTGTGCATGAATCCCACACGTACCAGTGATCTTATAGACGTGGTATCACAGACTGTTCAGATGTAGTTTCTTTATATAGGATGGACATCAACTCTGTGTGATGCACATTCTTCCCCTGGTCTCCTCTGCACAGCGTTCAGTTTGCAGCAGTAGCACCTGGCATTCAGGTTCAGGTCTTTGGTTCCTGCAGGATGCCTGGTGTGCTGCTCTTACCCACTGCACCCAGGGCTCTCAGGAGCTCTTCAGGAATGCTCTGTGTGAAGGATGTACCAGGGGTCAGCCTTTGCTCCTAGGTAACTAGTGATTGATAGGGTGAGAGGTGATGGCCTTACGTTGCACCAGAGGAAGTTCAGGTTGGATATTAGGAAAAACTGCCCTTCAGAAAGAGTGGTAAGGTGATGTAATGGGCTGCCCAGGGTGCAGTGGGGTCACCATCCCTGGAGGTGTTTGAGAAGCACGGAGATGTGGCACTGAGGGATGTGGGCAGTGGCATGGTGGGAGCAGGCTGGTGCTTGGACTGGATCATGGAGATCTTTTCAACCTTAATGATTTGATGATTCTGTGATCACCTTGTGAAAAACTAAAGTGCAGAGCTGCCCTGAGGTGTGATCATAGCAACTGCAGGATCAGCTGTGCTCTGTGTAAAATGACTTCTCCTGTAGACAGCACTTGTCTTTAAAGAAACAAAGAATCAATTTCTCTCTTGCTAGTGTTTGGCTGTATTCCCTGCAGCATTCAGCTCTTTTCTGCTTTAGAGAAGGTTACTCCTCTTTCTGTGTTTGACTCCCAAGTATAACCCTTTGCCTGTGCATTTATTGTTTTACTGCTATCTGACCACTTTTGCACTTTCTCAGAATCATGCTCAATTGTCATAGCATTCTTTGAAGTGTTTTTTTGTTCCCCCCAGTTTGTGCCGATGGCAGCTCTGGTATTCCATTGTCTAAATCATTAATGACTGTGTTGAATAAAAGCAGACCCAGCAGACACATGGCCCTGCAGGAGCCTCCAGTGAGAAGCTGGTAGTTTGGTTGAGTGCAGCATTCCAGCTAGCTGCACACTCATCTTACAGTAATATTATTGAACAGTGCAATAATATCATTAAATAACACAAGTTGCATTGTGTGGCTGCATCAAGTATCTGTAAAAGTTCACGTTGGCTATCTCTGAGCAATTCTGAGCCTTCTGCAGGGCGTTGTGTTGCACTGATTCTGCATTGCTTTCCTTGGAAAAATCACAATGACTGTTGGTTACGCTCTCTTGTATGTGGTTAATAACATGGTATGTTACGAGGTATTGAAAAAGAATGATTCATCTGCATTTTCTCAGACCCTTAAAACTTTTGGAAGGAAAAAGGGATTGATTTCCTCTCTGAAGCAGAGATAAACCAGAGAAAAATCTGGTAGCACGTGAGAACACAAGACAAAAACTCATTAGTATCCCTTTGTTGACAGATTTCAGCTATCTGTAAATAAGTTTAAAGTAATTTAGTGTGTGTTAATATGCTGTGTTTCATATTCCATATTGTTCTAAAAGTTAAAAAGCTTCATTCTGATTCTGTGCCTCGTGGTAGTGAAATAACATTGTATAGCTTTTTAGTTCAGACAGTGGTTAACGCAGCTAGTCTGAATTCTGTTACTCATAATTGTCTGCACGATCAAGAATAATTACTAATGTCTGCAGTGTGTGCTGGAATATTTACATTACAGCCCTGTTCTGCTTTCTATATTCCATAGGGATGGGGCTGCTTATAGAGAAGTGCAAATCTGTGCCTGTCAATCACAATAACTTCCTATATTCATTCTCTTGTAGCTGCGATGGATGCTCCAAATTACATTCTGCATTATTAGATGTGCTTAAAGATTAATTTTCATTGTGTTTATTTTTTTTTAATTTTTTATTTCTTGCAGTAATCCGAAGTCCACGAATCGGAATGTAAACAAGAGAGTCAACAATGATGAATCACTAAGGATTCAGAACTTGTGTATTTTGGTGAAGAAAATAAAATATTTCTACCAGGTCAGTAATTGTTTCTTACAGTAACTTTTGCCTGAAGTTCTTTCTGAGCATTCTTTTTCATTACCTTTAAAAGTAATAAAAATAAGAGCAATATTTTGTGAAAACAGTGTAATTAGTTAGCTGTTTATAAATCTGGTCAGAATTCTTCATCACCTGTTTCACAGCTGAAGGAGGAGTCCAAAGCACTCGTTTGTGAAAGATGTTCTGTTTTATATAGTAAATATTCTGCATCTTTGCTCACTTAGTACCTTAATCTGTGTCTGTTGATATTTTCTGAATTGAGACAAGTTCTGTGCCTGAGATAAATGGCTGTATGTGCATTTAGTTGACTAAGCAACATTTTTGTAAGAACAGTGCATCTGTGTGTTCAGAATTCATTTGATTTTTATTAGGAAAAATAAAAACCTAACAGGAATGAGCAGTAAACATTGTGATGAGCTGTAGAATAGTTACTGAATTTTTGTGTGTTCATCTTGTGCAAAAGGTAAGAGTTAATACTATGCTTTCTGCTTTGAGTTGGTGGCACATGGACAGGCTATAGCAGGATGCTGTGGATACCACCAGCATACTTCACAGTGTGTATTTTTGTCTCCTCCCACTTCCTCGGAATGCTCTGGCAAGCAGGAAAGCCCAGATGTGGGAGGAAATCTCAGTTATCTGCCTCTAACTTCATCACTGCAGTATCTGTGCTTTTGTAAGCTTTTTCTCATGTGTGTACACATACACACTTTGTTCTTAAAAACTCCAAAATATAGTAAGAATTCCCAGCTGATGCTTGCTGCAGCGATACATGGCAGCTACTGCATGTGGTTTAGGTGCTGCTGGCTTATACTCAGGCATTTCCATTTCCTGATGGTAGTTGTTTGCAGACAGGTATTAGTGCTACAGGTAACAAGTGCAACACTAGACACACCAGTGACAGAAATGATCTTTACCTGAAAATAAAGCAATCCTTGTGCTTCTTGTGCATGGTGCTGTTCCACCAGAAGCGTGAGGCCAAACTGCTTCCATTTCACTGATCTGTCTCGGTGTGATTCAGGATTTTGAATGTTGATCCAAGCCTTTGTCTTAGAAATAACATACAATAGCTGTTTTTTGTTTTTTTTTTTTTTGTTTGTCTTTTTCTTAAAGTATTCTTCTTCAATAAATGTTTGATTCAGTCATCATGCCTTTAATGGTTCGAATCTGTCAACTGCTCTAGAAGTGCAAGCTGTATAAAACTGCTTGTGCCTTTTTTTCCCCTTTTGCTTGCCTGTCTTCCACATTTCTGATCTAGTGAGATGCCAGTCCCTCAATACAGTACAAGTGAGGGAACCTGCAAACATCAAAGGTCTGGCATTTTAGTAGGGGGTAAAGATGTTTAGTAGCCAAATTGGAGCATTTGTTCAAATTTACTTTACTCTTTGTGGTTGGTTGGTTTGGAGGGAAATGTTAGAAGATGGGTTGTAGGTACCCAACCATTGATCATTTCTATTTATCTACTTCCTAGTTTGATGCTGCAGCATGAAAACCCTGCAGAGGCCCCGTATGCACATCCCCTGGCAGGATCCTGAGGCACTAATCAGACTGATCTTTAATTCAATGTTAGTGTGGCTAACAGCATGCTGCAGTGTGGCTGCTTCCAGCAGTCTGCCAGCCCTACCTGCCTCCTTTGTGGTCATTCTCTGATTTGCCAGCTTTGCTGGGCTATATGGAAGCCTGTCTTTCCTATTTCCCAGTCTCTGCAGGTCAGATCCTTTCCTCTTAATGTAGAGCAGGCTTCTCAGAAACAGATTGTATTTGTTTGCTAATTTCTTAAAGGGGGAATTTGACAAGGTAAGAGGCAGCAAGAAGTGTGGCACTCTGCTGTGTACCAACAAATTTCCTTCCTGTCTGTTCCAGCTCTAATGAGCCTGCTCAGGATTTCAATCCTGCAGAGATGTTCTGTAATGGTCACGTACTGCACTTCCTCCATTACACTCCTGAGTAGACATGTGTCACATCCCAGGCAATGGCTTGAGCATTAAGCTCATGGGTAAATGCTGCTTCCCTTTCCCCTTCAGTACTGACATATGCTCATGCACAACTTCTGGGAAGGTGATGAACAAGTTTGCAAGCCCTGTGACCTCAGCGTAGGCCACACTTGTTGAGGGTGTCCAAGTATAAGGGTATCAGGCTGTTGTGCAGTACACGTGGTGCAGATGTCAGGGAAAGGGCAGGAAGGACCAATGAAGGAAAACAAGCTAAATGGACTGCTGGGCATTGTTAAGCACAGGATTATCTGTGCAGTGTGAGTGCTGGTGCAGCATCCTCAGGTGTGGGATGTCAGAGCAATGTGAGTGTGACCATATAGCTCCACAAAACCACAGCACAGTGAGATAAGCAGTTAAGCTTCTCCTGTTTGCAGTATAGGATGTTGTCATTGCAGTTGTAGGATTGAGCCTTTGGGCCTCATTAAGTGATAATATTTTATTATAATATTATTTTGCCTGTGGACTGCCACAGTAAGTAAGCAATGAGTTGGAATTGATTTTTACATAAATTAAGACATAAAATGTTGAAGTGTACAAGTGTATGTTGCAAATGTACCTGCTTTAAAATGTATCTCTTTAAAAATTCAGAAAAAAATCAAAAATATCTGCCTCAAAAAAGTAGAAAAAAGTTTCTTACTGTTCTGTACATGATTTTACATCTTTAAACTTTTTCTGTTTTTTGACAGCCAGTTTGATATCACTAATATTGCCAAAGCCAAGTTGAATTTGATTTTCAGTGCTTCTGATTAAAAAAATACATGTTTGCACATGCAAACACACCCTTTCACAGGAAGGAGTTCATTTTATGTGATTTGAAAAGTAATACATGTTTCAGTACCCTATGTATTTCTACACTATTCTTTCCAGCTGAAACCTACAGAATTCTGTTTCTGTCCCAAATTCTTGTTTTATCATGGCTGTATCTTTAATAAGATAGCCTGGTGACAACATTCACTGAGGTTTTTTTCACTGTGTACTGGAAAGCCACATGGCACAAAGGGTTGTTAATGATGGTTGATGTATTTTCTGAATTAAAAATGTCATGTGAGCTTAAAAAAAACATGTTTTTTTAATCCCTTTTTCCAGTTTACTTCTATTGCTTGAAGTTTCTGTTCAGTGTAGCTTTTGGACCTAGACTACCAGTGCATTTATTTACCTGGGCACAGAATGGGGGCAGTGATGGCCAGGAGAACCTTTCAAGTTATCTCCCTTTCTTTGTTACTCTCATCCTCTGTTCTTGCTCAAACAACAAGCAGTTCCTTTTAAGTGTGTGTAAATTGAATGTGAACAAATTATTTGATTTATACAAAACTGAAACAAAGATTAAATTAGAAAACAGTGCAGTCCATTAAGATATCTGGATTACAGCTTTCCAGTCTGGCTGCCCAGGCATCACTGGGCTGTCAATAGGCATTGCTGTGGGCTGCAGCAGGAATCACAATATCTCAAACTCCATCTGCATATATCCACACAGATCACTTGTAAAGCTTCCTGTATCCGAGGTCATGAGGATAATTCCAGAAAGAGGGTTGTTTAATGCCAGGATTTGTTTGGGATTTGAAGACTGTTGGTTTTGTTCCCTCTCAAACCTAGTGCAGCCCAGCAGCTGGTGTTTTCCTGCAGCCTTGTGTGTGGGTTAGCAAGGCAGCATAGCAAACTCAGCTTTAAAAAAGGGGGGGGGATGCTTCAGTTCCTGTCACCTGGGGAATTACCCAAAGCAGAGAAGCAAGTGCTTAATGGATGCATTGGTATTGAGCCTTGGGGGCTTCTCATCTGAGTGGTTCAGGCAGCCCTCTGAACAGGCATCGTGTTTGGTGTGTGTTCTGAATGGAATGCCTTGGAATTGGGAGTAATGGAAAATATTCACTGTACTGCCATACAGTAATGTATATTACGTGGGAATAAGATACAGATTTTTTTTTTTCATTTTTAGTTTCAGGTTATTGTAACTTTTTGTTGTGAAATTGTCTGTGTGTGTTTATTGCACGTGGTTTTTATAAAATCTGTGAGATGCATTCTCTCAACATAGCAAATAATTGCACTGAGGTGTTGCTAATGTACTTGTCCAAAAAGCAGCACTGACATTCAAAAAAAACCATTCATTAGATTATAAGGACCCTTAGATCCTGTGCCATTTAGTTCTGCTCTGTAATTACAAATGCATCTTCTCATTTGTTTTACTGTGGAAAAACAAAAAGCATCACTCCAGAGCTGCTGATATGATTGCATCTGTGAATAAACATCTGGGAATAGGAGGAAGACTATTCTGCTTGGGAAGAATTAGGCTCTGTCTAGACTGGGGATTTGACCTGATTACAGCCATTACTGGCTGACAGTCACTATCCATTGATACAATCTGTGGAATAGATGGGCAAAGCTGCTGTGTGAGTGTGGGACTTACCAAACTAAAACTCTGTTTGATCAGACAAATAGGATTTTCTGCCTTCGTATTCAGGATTGCCACAGCATAAATGCATCAGAAAAGCTGTAACTTCTGTATTTAGGTTTTAAGGCTGTGGTTGTAAATTCAGGGAAGTTCATCTTCCGTTGTTTAGTTGAAACTTAGAGCAAATAAACATAACCTAGTCAGAGAAACATAAACACTAATAATTACAAGGAATTTTGCTGCATTCTAAGGCACAAAAACAATAAACCACCTCCTTACCACAAGGGGATTTCACTGTTTTGAGGTGATCTTGCAAACCAACAAAACAAGGCTTGTGTAGCAGAAATTCACAGTTGTAATCTTTCTGTTTAGAGTACAAATAAGTAAGTATTGTATGTGTATATATTAAGATGTGCATAATTTAGAACTACTTGCAGAATACTAATTTCATCTTAGTGCTGGGTAGTGTTTGATATTTTTGTTCAATACATGCAACTTTGAAAATATTTTGACTTTTATAGGAATGTTTGCAGCAGCTGATCTTGATGGCTTTGCCGAATGTGTTAATAATCGGCAGAAATCCTCTTTCTGGTAAGTTTATTTCTAACAAAGATGAAAACTGATATCAGTATAACTTGTTATTTCACTGGAAATATTTTTCACATATAAATAGCTGCTGTTAGTGGCTATTCTACTGAGTAACACTTTCTTTATTCACACCAAAGGTTCATACTCGACAAAAATGTGTTCATTTCAAACCTCAACATTGACTTCACACTGACGTGCATTTTCCAGCAGCCAGTGAGCCAATGATAGGACAAAATACACATTTCATGTATTCCCAGCTAGGATGTTTTCAGCTGCCTTTACCTAAGCCACCCTTGAGAAAATGGGTGGTTTGGTGCATCTCACTTGGTCCAAAACCTAATCCTTGTTTTATTTTTTTCCTTCCTCCAAACTCTCTTGCATCGTTGCCTGAAAAATGTTGCAGTTACTCTCTTATTTTCTCCCCTGAACTGACGCTGTCTTCTCCATGCTCCTACCTTCTTTGCTTCCAGCTCTGAGAGTTGAAATTTTCAGACCGAGAAAATTAGCCTGTATGGACCCAGCTGACTATCCACAGCTACTTGGGAATCTCTGCACCATGCTCTCAATTCCAGAAGCACGGAGCAGATACACCTGGCCTGCATGGAGCCACTATGGATTGGGCAGAATTAATTTACTTGGGTCTAATGTGTCCCAGGTGTTCTACTTGTGATGTTCTAGCACCTCAGCAGAGAGGTTAGGAACTGCTCTAACAGGCTGTGTAGCTTCCCCTGGCTTTTCTTCCTCTTTTTTTTTTTTTGGGTCTTACATGCCATGCATCAGTGTATGTGAGACAAGAAGAACCATCTGCGTTAGCTCTCATTTCAATTCCAGGGTTCATAACACTGATACTTTCCATATCCCATCTGCATATATACCATTTATGTAGATATCTTGATTTAATTTTCTTGAGTTTTACTTTTGGCTCTTGATGATTGCTGCTTTTGCTTCTGAGGTCATGGCGTTTTAAGTTTTTGTATGTGTAGGTATTGTAATCTGTCACATGCACTGTAAAGTGTGAACGTGGTCACTTTTGTTCCAACACTGTGTTTTTATACTTTGATTCCAGACATTCCTAAGGTTTTTTAAAAGAATCCATGGATTTGCCTAAAAATCAGATTTAGTGGAAAAGCAGATTTAAAAAACCAAATGGGTCGTAATGTTAATTTTGTAGTGATGGTTTTTTATTCTCTTTAAGATAGTGAGACAAAGTACATCTTAAGGGTGTTATGTACCTTAGTAGGAAATTCTAATAAAAATGCAGTATGAAAAGCCACAGAGAAAATTTAATATTTGGATATATGCACAGAAGCCTATGCTTAAGTGCTTAATAAGGAAGCTTCTTCCTATTGTGGGACCACAGCTTTTGTGGTTTGGCATCTGGAACCTCTGGTAATACATGTATTGCTCTCTTCTGGAGAAGTTATTGTATCTGAGAGAAAATGCAGACTTTACTGTAGCTTAGCCCAGGGATTAAAAACCATTCTGGTATACAGACGAGATTCTTGAAGATGTTTCAGATTCCTGCTGAAGTTGGTTACAGACCTGGATCTGAAATTGGTTTCCTCCAAAAGGCTTCTCCTTTTCATGCCCTTTTAAATACTGCTCTTATGGTTCTCTTGAAGAGGACCTCATCCCTTATATAGGGAGTTTAAAGCCTTTTTCTTGGTGGAGGAGGGGTTTGGGGGAGGGCAGTGTAGCAAAATGAAACCTCAGTGACCTTTAGAGAGACATGCTTTGTAAATTTGATTGCATGAAGGCAGTCTTGCACAGCAAAAGTAGATTCTCTGATAGTGAGTAGGATTTCAGCCTGTAAGGCTTACGCTGCAGCTGTGGTTTCTCTTTGGAATGTATCCCAGTTTTTCCCACTTGCAGTGCTTTGCACATAAGAAGTGATTGATGAATAGAGAAATTCCTGAAGATGACGATTTGAAGAAGGTGAGAGCAGATGAGATTTCAGGAAAAGAAACATGTTTGGTTGTAGCAGAAGCAGTTGGTTAATAAGGGAAAATGCAGGTAGAATTCTGGATTTGAACTTTGGTTTAAAAGAGATCATCAGTGACTTTATCATAAGGAAACATTTTGGTTATGCTAATTGACAGGAGGCCAGTTTGAGGAAAAAACTGGATGGAAAGAGTGCAGGCTGTGGTTGTAAATGTTGAATTAAAGAGGAAAAGGATAAAGGAGATGATGAAGAGGCAAATATTCTTTAAATGGGGGAAGGGAAGAGATTAAAATCACTTAATAGTTCTGAGGTAGCAAGGCAGAGGATGGTGGGATGATGGAAGGCTACAGAGAATGTGAAAATTCAGGGATAAGACAGAGCTCAGGGAAGATCAGTGGATGGGATGAGGGGCCAAGTTTGAGAAGTACATTGGAGGGGTTGGTACAGAGGCTTCAGTGATCTACTTCTGTATCTGTGGTGGAGTGAAAGAAAGAAAAACAGAGGGGACAGTCTGTAGTCATGAGAAGCTAAGGTTGTTCAGTATTTTGTCATGTTCCATCAGGGAATGTAGGGAAAAGGCATGAGAACAATATCCAGGTAGGTCCTTAAGAGCATCAGTCAGATGCTGAACCAGTGTGCAGGTGAGTGCTCCAGAGGATTTCAGGGATTGTTTTTAGAGAAGTGTGATGAGTTTATTAGAGTAAGTGAATTTCCAGTGCGAGACAGTGGAGTGGATTCATTCTCTTACAATATTCTATATAATTTGTGGTGGTTAAAATAGACACCCAGGTGGAATTGTCCTTCTCTAGCTGAGGTGACATGCTTCTCTTGGAATGTATTCATTGATGTCTTCTGTTAACGTGTAAGAGACTTCAGCTCAAGTTTTCGGGATGCAAGAAATCTACATAACGATGAACAATCTCCCACTTGAGTTTGTGGTTTGAAAAATCACAGTGATACCTGTCAGTGGGGGTTGTACTGCTCTCCCTCTCAGAGAAGCAGGTTGAATCAGTGTTGAAAAAGGCACTCTACTTAATATTGCACAAAAAAGTACTGGAAGTGAGTCTCTTCCCAGTTTTGCACCTTTTCTTTTTTTTTTTCTAATTTCTTTTTAATGTTGTCTTTTTGATCAAGATTACCTTGTTTAGTTTTTTAAGGATTTTAAATTTGGTTCACTTATCAAATACTTCAGTGGATAAAAGCAAAGGCTGATTTTTCAAGCAGTTGTAATCACTCAATTACATCTTTCTTTTATGGGAGTTTATCCAAAGTAGATCAAAGCAGTTGTCCAATGTAAAGGAAGTGCGTGGTCTGTGCTATTCAAAAAGATGATTTTGGATTCCTATTAGATGCTTATCATCATCTCAAGGTCATCAGAGGTCATTTGTGATTACTAACTGAATCCATTAAAAGTGAAATTTTGGTGACAGGTTAAAGAAGGGTTGTGTATATCATACCACAACCTGCACTTTGCCTGCAGTGTTCCATATTTGGCCTAGGGGTGAATATGCTGCTGCTGCTGGTAGTTACACCAGCTCAGCTACAGAACTTGGTTTTGTGAAATAAAGGTTAGATTTCTATCCCAAACCTGCATTATTATGTTTGACAGCATAGTTTTTGTCTGGTTAGCTAATAACAAAATAAACTAATTGCTGAAATCCTGAGTGTATTTTAGAAAGGATGCTGTTGAGGTTCATTTGTTCCCAAAACTGGGAATGAAATGGAAAGTACTTTTTCTGTTTCAGTAAAGCAAAGTGATGTATGCAGAGGTTAATCCAGCTAGTCTAAACTATTTTGCCATCCTGAAGTGTTCACTTTGTGGCATGACGTGGTGTATTTAGTAGCAGGACCAAGAAAATTCTGGGTGTAAGAAGGAAGGTGCATCTTTACTGAGCTGTAAACAAACAGGGATCTTAAGCTTTTTTTTTTTTAAAAAGAAATTAAGATGCTTAAGGCCAGATTTGGAAATACAGTTTGATATCTAGATGTGGAGATGAATATCTAATGTAGTACCTAATTATTTCATAAAGCTTTATTTAATTTGCCTCTTAATTGTTGGTAGCCTAAGGGTGACAGACGATTTGAACGCTCTTGCAAGTATGCTGAGATAGCTGAGATTACAGCTGAAAACTTGGTCATGTCCAAAACACTTGAAAACGTCACTTAAGTTTTGCTGTGTGAAGGCCTGAAATGTTGCTTTTTCTATCATGCATGTTAAGCTATTTGTAAGCATTAAATTGGCAGTTAAGTGGCAAAAAGGGCAAAGTTGAAAGATGGAAAGAAGGGGTTTTCTTTGCCTTTGTTTTCTAAGTTGGGATAATGCAAATTATAAGACAATAGTGAGAAAAGCAAATGTTCTCTGAGCTTCAGTTCACCTTTTTTTTTTTTTTCTTTCTACTTAGAGCCAGGTACTAATGAAATAAATAAAATACTCCTGCTTCTGCTTGGTTGTGCTGTTCAGGTAAGCTTAAATAATGTTTGTTTGTATGGAATTGTTTGTGTTAACATTTTCTTATCCTATCACTTTCATACCTGAAGTTGTATGTAACTGTAGCCTTCATTTCTCTAATGATGCTATTACTTTCCTTGACAATCAGGATGTTCTGACAGTTCAAGTGGCTACAACTCTGCACCTCCTATGTCTTACTGCATATGGCAAACTTTGTAAGATTTCTAATGGTTCATTAATTGTAACTGTACTCACCTTAGGTACTGTAAAGAAAGGAAGAAAATGATAAATAATGAAGAGTTGCCTTACAGTTATATCTTGCTGAAATGGTTTGCATTCAGTCTGCCTACTCTGTTTAATTTTCATTAATTTGCAAACTAAGCAGGATTAAATGAGTGAGGGAAGTCACTCTACTCAGATGTGTCATGTCAAGCAAGGATGTGTAAATCTTTCTAGTACTGTCTCCCTTTGCACTGTTGTGCTATCAGAGTTGTTACAGGTTGTAACTGCACGACCTTTACCTTCTAGGCTGTTCTAACCTAAACTTTGAAGATTTGGCTATCCATGAGGGATGTGTTGTGTGTTTGGTAGGCTTGGCAGTGAGTAGGCTGCAAGGCAGATAAGATGTAAACTCATATCAGGTTAGTTATCTCCTGGGAGCTCCTGGTTCGTGGGCAAGGTTAGGTCTCTCACTAAGAGAACACCTGCTTTGTGCATTGAGCTGGTGCCAGCATGAGTAAGAACAGTGCAGGACAGATGACAAGGTGGAAATATTTCTAAGATACCCTGCTCCTATGATCACGTATTCAGTAGATTCTTCTAATGGACTGCAGTTCTTATTAAGGAGGCTTGCACCATTCAGCTAATTAAACTGAAAAAAATAGATTAATCATGTATTTTTAACAACTTAGGTAAGCGATGTGAGTATTAAAAAGAGGACACTGAGAAAGTGCTTGTGGAACTTTGAACAAATAGCTACTTCAAGAAACTTCTTCCTTGCCCCCATTGCAGTAGCTGCTCTTTTTTTAATCATTTTATTAATGTTGAAAGTTGTTGTAATGATTACAGCACAGCATAAATATAAGAATACTTGCTGATCAAGGAAATTATTGGATAAAATTTAGTGATGTGATTACTGAAATTTCAGTTTCATTACTCTTCGTTCTTAAAAATACAAAGGAGGAATGAAAATATGATTTTATATGAACGTGCTCTAATGTATATAATGTATATATATATTTTAGTGTCAGAAAAAGGAAGAATTCATTGAAAGAATCCAACATCTGGATTTTGACACAAAAGCAGCTGTTGCAGCCCATATTCAAGAGGTATGTTATTTATATGCTTTTCATTTTCTGGAGATGGAATATTTTGTAGGAGTGTTTATTACGTTTGTTCAAAAACAGGAAAATCAAATAGAAAGTTTGTCTATTGTTTTTAGTGAGCAAAAAACGTCTTTATATTTTAGCTTAATTCAGAAAAAAAATTTGTCATCTAATTCCTTACATTGTTAGAGCAGCACTTAGAAGCAAGTATGTTGCTCCAAGAAATTCTTAGATGTATTGCAAACTGAGCGTAACGAGAATGTCACATGCAAATTACTAAATCAAAAATGAATCTCCTGTGCTGCAGTATGTCATAGACACTTTTTGCTTTTTATTTTGCCAGAAATGCAAGTTAAGGTATGCCATTCCATTGCACACAACTTAATGTATATTAAACGTTCATGTCTTTTTTTTTATGTCATGTGAGAATTTAGCCCATATAGTTTCAGCGTTGTTTTATGTATGCTTCTTTTTCTTCTGGTATAATTTAAAGGGTGTGCCTTTTTTCTCTTCTGTTTCATTCTTTGTAGGTAACTCAGAACCAGGAGAATGTGTTTGATCTGCAGTGGATGGATGTCATTGTATTTACACAAGACTCTGTTGAACCTCTTTTGAAAAATATGACATTACAGTTGAGAAGACTTGTAGATGAAAGAGATGAGCACTTAGAGGTACAGATGTGCTTTATTGCTTAAGAGAAACGTAAGAAATGATTTTTGAAAATGGAGAAGGTTACTGTTTTTAGAACACTTTAATGTATGTTCAGTTAATGTACAAAAGCAAGGACTCCTTACTGCCAAAATGTTGCTTCAAGTGGTTACAATGTGCATGCTTTTGGTTGAATACTGTTATGAAGCTGAGGGGAAAGTAGCAGCTGATCTTTATCACATAGACAGTTTACAGGAATGTTAGAGCTCTTTTAAAGCTATAAGCAGAAAAGACAGAGCTGCATCAGTAAAGACTCCAGGAATCAGAAACCCATCAGTGTGCATGGCAGACAGTGAAAGGTATTGATGTATCATATGGTTTTGAGTGAATTGGAGCAGAATCCAGGAGCAGTTTTTACAGGCTTATGAAGCACTCATTGCACAGTGTGAGAATGAGAAATAAACGTGTATTAAAAAACAATGCAAGTTATGAATCATCTTAAGGATACCAGATTTGCCCCTCAGTAGCATGGGAATATGATGATGTTGCAATTATTCCTGATGTTCCTGTGAATGTCACCAACTCTGTCCCGTTCACAGCTTTGGTAAGAGAAGAGGAGCAGCTTGAGGGGAGACTGAACGTGGTGATCATTTTCTGGAAAGCAAGGGAGAAATAGCTTTACTGTGGAAGAGCTCTTCCTCTTGAAATAACACCTTTATTTTTATGGTCAGAAAGGAAAGCTCCCATAGCTCTCATTCATTGTTTATGCAGCTGGCAGGGATGCTACTGCTTAATAAAGACCACAACTTTCTTTACAGACTTATTTTTATCCTCATTTTTGAGGAATTCATGAGGAATTATCCTGTCCGTTTTGGGCACTGATATTTTGATGGACCTAAGTCTAAATTTGAATAGTTTTACAATAGCCAATCAGTACTGTTAAACAGCTGTGACTATTCAAAACTTGCTCTAGGTATAGAGGTGTGCAAAGGGCTTAACATTTTTTCCTATACTTTATTTCTCAGACTATCATAGAACTCTCAGAAGATCGGGACTCTCTCCATTTGCTACCTCAGGCATCAGCAGCACAATCACCTTGTGGATCTCCTGGCTTGAAACACACTGAAAGCAAACAGCACCTGTCAGTTGAGCTAGCAGATGCCAAAGCAAAGATAAGAAGGCTTAGGCAAGAGATGTGAGTACTTGTAGGCTGCAGTTATGTGCTGAAAGTTGTTCATTTTTAATCATTTTTGATGTCACATGATAGAAGCACTCTACAAGGAAGTACTTTCAAATGTTAGGATGCAGTTAAAATGCCTTTTTAAGCTATTGTACCCCAGGGGGCATATTTCTAGCACATAAACCTATAGCTGTGTGTGTCTTAACATTGCACAGCTTATCTAACACTGCGTTGCCTTTTTCTTTTACACATTGTGTCTGTAGTGTAGTTTCTGAGGCAAGTTCTTTATGCTTCCTCTGTTGTTCTTGAGCAATAATCTGTGCCTGAGTGTGGCTTTAACACATGTGTGTTCATGCATGTTTTTGAGAGAGTAATCTGACATGCTTAAAATTGCCTCAGCTGCAGTTGCATGGGGAGGACATTTAGGATCTGGAAGTAAGAGCTGTGTCCTTGATTACTGGAGGATTAGTGGCAAAACATGGCATTTAAAAGGAGATAGGGAATCACTGCTGTGCTGTCTATAGCATAATTAACTCATTCTTTTTAGAAATAGAGGAAGAAATGGTCATCTGTGATTCATTCTTGGTTTATGAAACATTTAATTTGTTGGAGTTGGGAAGAAATCATTCATTAGAATTTCCTTCTGTGTGTTTGTCTGCTCGTGCCTCTTAAAACTGTTCCTTGTAACTTATACTTGTCTGCAATGCCAATCTGTAGAGGAAATAAAGCAAGTCAAATTCCAGTAAGTCTCTTGACCTATTGGAAACCTGGGTGCAGTTCACTGGCAGGAGGTGATTATTTATGGCTATGGAAGATGTGATTTGTGATGTGAGTAAAAATACAGATTGGGTCAATAAAGAGTCTTAGTTTCCAAGTCGTTACCTTCATTTAGTTGGGGAGTGCTGCCTTCTCCCCCTGCTGGTGATCCTGGAGCTGCGGGGTGTGTTTCCCTTCCATCACCTGGTCCAAGTGATGTAAAAAAAAAAAAATCAGTCCAACTGTAGCAAAGATCTGCTTTCTTTCTCATGAAAGACAACTGTTTTGGTACTTATCAAGAAATAACTACTGTCCTTAGAGTCTAGGAACAAATGTGAGTAGTAGTGAAGTTACCTAAGGAGAAAAATAGCAGGCCAGGAGGAGAATCTGATTCTGTATAGCATTGTGGTTTTGTGGAATTAAATACGTGCAGTTCGAACTTAAAATTACAGATGTTAAATCTGTAGAGACTTAATACGTGTAATAAGTAATTTGCATCTCATGGAAACAGCATAATTAGAGATTTTTAACCTCGCACATCAAGTGGAGAGAGGGGACAGGTAAAATTAAATAGAGTTGAAAGTAACGTAAGTCAAAATTACAGCTCACTGGTCTGCTTTTATCAGAGTTTGTTGATCAGATTATCTCTAGCTGGCTGGTTTAAGTATCTAGTTGATTTACACAGAGAATGCCCTTCCCCCACCACATCTCAGCTTTCATGAGGAATAGAGGACAAAAAGATGTGGCTTTTTTTTTTTTTTTTTTTTTCCCCTTCTGATGTCTGTATTATTATGTGCCTAGTGAAACGAGCCCGCCCAGGATATTCTATAAACAGCTGCACCAAGAAAATTAGTGAAAAAATTGCTGTTATTAGTTTGATTGACAGTTAATAGATAGCCTAAACAGTGAACACTGGTATGTTCTGTATAATTTAGTACAATCCTCTCTAGCCTGTAGCTGAAGCATGCAATTAGGACAACAGCGATGGCTCAGAATATTTCACATTTTGCACTCCAATTCAAGTCCTCAATAAATTTCCTTTACAAGTAGCAGGACATTTAAAAGGCTAGACTTTGATAAATTGACTTCTATCTATAGCATTTGTTATTAAATGCTGCTGATAAGCTTAAAACTAGATTCATTCCAGGATTGAAAATAGTAAGCTTTGAATTTATTTATAACCTGGTTTTGGCATGGTTTAATATACACTGTAGCAAACAGAATTTCATGCAGGAGATCTGTTAAGCTTATTTTTCTCTGCAGTACCATATACCAAGATTTGAATCCAAGGAGTGATTTGAGGCATGTGATCTAGAATCTCCAGAATTGAAAGTTAATACAGCTAATTTTCCATATTTCCATGCAGCACAATAATACCAGGAATATGAATGTTGATAGTAAAGTTACAGAGACCCAACATAATGTGGAATACATTTATACTTCCATATGGTTTCTGAACACTTATGGGAAAGCTTTGATACCAGATGTTGCAGTGAACTATATAGAATGAACCCCTGCCTACCTGTAGGCTGTCAAAGACCTTCTTGAAAGTGTATGGTTGCAAAAAGGTCATTCACTGTGAGATTTACTTTTTATAAGCAAGCATTATAGTTCTTACAAAAACAGAAGTGAGGATTTTTTTCCAGTATTATTTTTAGACTGTATTATACATTTCAGTCTATTCTCTTGTTTTCCATTTTATACTTCTGATTCATATTTGAGTTCCAAAATGCTCAATGATATGGCAACACATTTGAATATGCAATGTACCTTTAACTATAGGCAGTTTTGGAAATGGCACTTTTTGGGTTATTTTTTCAGTAGTGAACGCTGTTGGTCTTGAGACAGAAATGAATATTGAACAATTAATATTCTGTGTTTCTGAGAAGATGAGATTTCTCTTTCAGTTACTCATTGCTCAAAGAACTCATTTCTTGAGTATTGAGAATTAAGTGTTAGCTGGAAGTTAAGAATATGAGTCCTATAAGAAAAGGAGTGTTCTAAATCAAATTGTTTTTGTTATGAGCTAAACTAAAGCAAGAACTGCATTGTCTCCATAGAACTGTAAGTCATTATGCAGGAGGCTGCTTTCCCTAATGCCAGATTATTAAGTAGTAACTTTTTTTAGTGAGTAATGGCATATGAAAACCTCAATTCTTATTTGTACAAAAATGTGTACTTTTTTTTTTTTTTTTTTAACAAAAATCCTTGCTATGAAAATTCTTTATCCCCTAATCTTTCTGCCTTCCATGAGTAAGAGATCTCAGTGAACAAGGTTTTAACAACTATGAAAAGCCTGGTCAAATAAAAAAGATTAAATACAGTCTAAGAGCTGGAGAATACCAGAAGCACAGTGGCATACTGAAGTTTTGCACTCTGATGTGTTCATGAGATACTGGATTCAATAACAGAAATATCAGTAAATCTTAGCATCTGCTTCTCAGGGTGATAGCTATGAAGTTCTGCAGTCATCTTTAACTGTGTTTTGTGTTTTCTCTTTGAAGTGAGGAAAAGAATGAGCAATTTCTTGACTATAAACAAGAACTTGAACGGGTGGAAAGTGAACTAAGGAAGCTTCAGCAAGAGGTATGGGCTTTGTCAATCTATTGTCTTGTTTAAACTCCACTCTGAACATGAATAGTTTGCTTCTTTGTTGAATCTAGTGTGCTAAAAGTAAAAGATTCTGCATTAGGTTACCATTTCTTCTCTGATTTTTTCACTTCAGTGTTCAAGATATTTGCAACTAATATGTTCTGTGCTGAGGACTAAAGAGTACCTGTGCTGAATTTCTGATATTTTTTTTCCCTCAAGAACAGTACATTCCAATTTTGGCTGTTTTTCTTTAAACCTTGAATCTACATTGATAATGAAGGAAAGCATGTAATTCATTTGTTCTTAAAATCTGAGGTTATGTAATTACTGAGGATCGTTTGATAATATTAGTGGTCAAGGAATGTTCTGAAACTTAGAAAAGCTTGGAAAAGGCCAGCGCAGTTCTCTTGGAAATCCGTTATGTTTGCTGCTCATGTAGCTATGATAAATGTGTGAAGTAACAAAGCTTACAAGTTTGTTTCTCCTTTTGTGGTGCATATTCTGAAACAGACATAAACTTTGGAGAGTTTATGTAAAAAATGAACATATGACATCTGGTTTTGCTATTGCCTCTATTGTGAATTGCCTGTATTAAATACCAACTGTAACTTCTTCAACAGTTTGATAAACAGTCTGCAGTTGTTTATTTTGGCAAATAAATATTGATTCAGGTCTCTAATTCTATGCTAGACATTAATTACTCGCAACCAGAGATTAGAATTTGTCCATCTAGGAACACGAGGTTTGAAGAAGTTGTCATCTTCCTTTCAAAGCTAAGAGCATTTGTGAAAGCATTCTATGACTGAATTCCTAAATTGTGTACAGATCAGAAATAACAGATGGCCTCACGAGGATACCAGTGAACATCAACTTGGTAGCATATCTTATGAATCAACACGTAGGGAAAAAAGTATATTTGTGTCCTTTAATACTGTATATAATTTCTGCATTTTCTAGAATAAGAGTTTACTCTCAGATGCCCGTTCTGCCAGGATTTATAGAGATGAATTAGATATTCTTCGTGAGAAGGCAATTCGAGTTGACAAGCTCGAAAGTGAAGTCAGCCGGTACAAAGAGAGACTGCATGATATGGAATTCTACAAAGCTAGAATGGAGGTATGTTAAGCTGAGAAAATACTGACTAGCCATCATTTTTCGTTTGCTATCACTCTTTGGAAGTTGTTTTGATCACTTAAAGGTTGAGACGTGGAGCAGTGTTGTAGCTTTTTACTCTGGGATACATAGTAGTCAGTCTTATATGGTAAAGTACAGTTCTTATGTGAGAGTCCCTATGTCTAATTCCACGTTTTCATTACGGCCTTAAGTTGTGCCAGGGGAGATTCAGGTTGGGTGTTAGAAACCTTTTCTTTCTCTGAAGGAGCAGTGAGGCATTGGAATGGGCTGCCCAGGGGGGTGGGGGAGTCACTGTCCTGGAGGTGTTCAAGGAATGTTCATGTGTTGTAGTGAGGGTCGTGGTTTAGTGGAGAAACATTGGTGGTAGGTGAATGGTTGGACTGGTTAATGTTGGAGGTCTGTTCCAACCGTGGTTGATTCTGTGATTTGAAGTCAGCAGTATTCATAGCTCCAAGCTCTCAAGGCCCATAGGACAGACTGTTTAGGATATACCTATTAGCTGGTGAGAAACTCAAATGAGGAGCTGATTAACAATTTATAAAAAATGTAGTGATTTTTTTCTCCTCTGTAAGTCTCCAAAGAGAGGGTACTTTTCTAAGTAAGGCATTGAAGAAATACTGGTGGCACAGCAAATGCTAGATGAGTATACAATGACAAGATTCCACGGATAAAGTGCACTGAAAAAGATTCACTGACACCTTTAATGGAGGCACCTACTTTTCTAGCAAGAATTAGTTTAGAAATCAAATAATTGTAGCAAATTTCTAAGGCAAATAGAAAGTTGGCACAATTTTTGAATGAAATAATCACTTATGGGAGCCAAAGCTAATTAAAGTTTTAAGAAGATTTCAAGGTGGGCATTAAAAAACATAATTCTTAGGAAAGCAGAAAGAACTAAAATGGAAGTGAAGATCTGTTTACTTTGAAAAAGTAAAATTAGGATACTAGTTTAAAACCTTTCTTTAAAGTAAAAATGACCAAACAGATACGAGGCTAAACTACACAGCTGCACAGTATTATTCCATGTTATATCTTCATCTAATGTAGACTCTTAAAATCAGAGAACTGGATGGGAATCTCAGGATCACGTTCAGTCCCACTGTAAATGTACTGAGTATTTCTTACATTTCTGTACCACTCCAAACAAAGGTTTGGTGTTCATCCATTCTTTAAGACCTGATTGGTAAAGTGTCCTCAGCCTTTCACAGCAGTCTTTTGCTTCTTTGAAGTCTGTGACATATCACACGTTCTGTCATAGTTCTTTGTGCTCTACAGCCCAACAGCATTCTGCCTTATAAGGTAATTTTTTCCATTCTCTGGGTTCTGTGCTCATTTATATCTTTCTTAAAATTAGATTCCTAAAACTAAACCTGGTCCTGCATGGTAGGAGCAGTAGGAATTCCATTTTCACATGCAGTTTAAGCTAATAAAAAACAAAAATTTATTTACATGTTCTGTAGCCTGCAATCTGATTTTTTTTTTCAGACATACTTGAATAGAGACAGTTGTTAATTAGTTTGGTTTGCTCCATAATAAGTTAATATTTCAGTAGGTAGGAGTTCAAAGGGTAAGTATTTATTTTATTCAGTGGTCTCTTTTTCAGATTTAGTAGGTGACTGCACACTTCAGTTTGAAAATTTTTGTGTGTCGTTCACAGCTACGTGTAACTGCTGTAAATCTGTTTCTGAGGTTTGTTACAGCTCTCAAATGAATGTTCAACATTAAAACATTTCTAAAACTGGGTGTGATGGGTATCAAAGTTGTATTAATAGCACAGTAATTTTATCCTGTTTGTTTTTCTTGCCTTTGTAGGAGTTAATGGAAGACAATCAAGTGATGCTAGAAACAAAGAGGATGTTTGAGGATCAAGTAAAGACACTGCAATCCCGTTCTGATAAATTACATGTGGTAGAAAAAGAGAATCTACAGCTGAAAGCTAAACTACATGAAATGGAGTTGGTAAGTGTAAATGGACGATGAAAAAACCTACTAAAAATCTTAGAGTTCTGTTTGTATTTTTAATAAAAGATCTTCCTGTCAGAATGGTGTTGGAGAAGAGTAAGGTATGTCTTGATTTACTAATCTTTTTCTGATGGGGTTTGCTACAGCAGTCTTGATTCTGGTTAGGGAAATAAAAATTGCAAAGAGCAGTACTCTTCTGAAATGTTTAATCAGCTTAAATTATGCTGATGAGACTCATTAGTGAGAGGATAGGATAAATGTTTTTTGGATACAGTAATTTTTTTGTCACATAAGTTCTTAGATAGTACATGGTTCATGTTTCCACTTCTAGTATTAATAAAGTGATGTATTTTCCAGAAGGTTTTTTCTCAAAATAATTTCTGTTTTTAACCATTTCTTCCCTCAAAAGTAAATACTGTAAAGTACAAAATCATAATGTGCCTGTTTTGCAGGTTTATTTTGTTTGCTTTCAGTTTTCATTGAGGAGCAGGAGTTTACCTTCTACTCTGAAAATTTTCAGAAATTGATAGTGAGTTATAGCTACAGTTTATTTTCCTACAAGAGTAGAATGTGCTGAGAGGGGGACTTACAAAGACTGTTGAGATTCTTTCACTGTGGACCCATTCCTGTTACAGCATTTTGTATGGAAGTGGTCTTATCTTAGAGAAACAAATATTGATCCTTTTGTTTATTGTGAGTGCCACCAAGCTGTGCTTATTGCATATACTTCCTTTCCTGATATTCTGAGAGAAGTGAACTTTGAAAAACAATAAATTGAGTCATTGCCATAGGTTATGTTGAGAAAAGATTATTCTCTGCATATTTGTCTTTGCTGTTTGCCACACTTCTGTTCTGCGTCCTCCATAATTTTGTCTGTTCCTCCCTGTCTCACTGTGCATTAGCAAATCAGAAAAGAGACTCTGCATTTCTCTGTTGCATACTTGATAGTAAATAATTTTGTGTATGTTGAGACATAACTTTTTCTAAAGTTACACATGAAATAATTTTTAAGGAGCGTGATATGGACAGAAAGAAGATTGAGGAACTTATGGAGGATAACATGGCTCTGGAAATAGCTCAGAAACAAAGTATGGATGAATCACTACATCTCGGCTGGGAACTTGAGCAGATAAACAGGTTTACTGATCATTCTGAAGGTAAATTTAATAATAATTGCAAACTGGAAAAGAGTTGATAAATGAAGGCTTGGCAGTGAGAGTAGTATTAAGAAATTAAAGCTCCTAATCCTGATCAGTTATTCTTTTTTTTCTTTTTTAAACTCAGGCCTCTATATCCATGCAGAGGCAACCGTGTGTTAAAAGGGTGTAAAACCCACAAATACCTTGGAGTTAAATGGTATTGATATTCAAACGCCTGTATTCTGCCTTGGTACTCTGAGAGTCAGGAAAGATTTACTAAGGTTTCTCAATAATTGCAGTAATTCTTGCAGCAAGAATATTGATTCTTCTGGTATAGAATGCTTGGTCATGTTGCTGGGTCACATACCAAGGATTTGAGGAGATTGTGGGGAAATATCTGTTGTGATTATGAACTATAGAATATGTAGGACATTTATTGTTTGCATCTGTGGTGTTCTCCCTTGAATAAGAAAAATGAGTCACTAATGCTGTCTATTCAACTAGAAGGCACTGCAGAATCATCATAGGCTTCTAAATCCATTAAATCTAAAAATGCCAAGCCTATCCTTGAATGACTCCAGGTAATGGAAGAAACCTTTTTTTCCCCTCTTTTTTTTTTTTAATTGTGTTTTTCTGTTGCAGTGTCATATAAATCACTTGGTCTTGAAGTAACTGAACTGACATCAAGCAGACTACTGAAATTGGAAAAGGAAAACCAAAGTTTACTGAAAACAGTGGAAGAACTACGAAGCACAATGGATGATTCTGTAGGAGGCAATAGTTCAAGGATTCTGAAAATGGAAAAAGAAAACCAAAGACTAAACAAAAAGGTAGTCACAGTGTGTTTTGAGTTGTGTATGAGTTGCCTAATTTACTTCTATTTTTTAAGGCATGAAATAATAAACACTGCCCTGATTTTGACAAAAGTAAATATTGGTAGTGTCTAAATAGTGATATGGTGCTTGTAAGTTTAGGATAAGAAAGACAACTTTTACAGGAGAGATAGAAAGATTTTTTTTAATTATTTTTTTTTAATTAATAATTTCCAAATGGAATCATTTTATTCAGAAGACTCTCCTAACGGGGGGGGAGGAAAATCAATGTGTTACTATTGGGACATAATGAAAATGTTTTATGATTGTTGATAATTAGTTTAATTATCAAGAATCATACTTTAATTGTGCAACTATTACACAGGGGGAAGTATGTGTATATGGAGGGAGAAACCTGTTGTCACCTATGGAGAAAACTTGATCATGTATTCTTGATCATGATTGAGAAAAGAGAGATGATGTGTCAAGAAACTGATCAAGTGAAATGAGAGAAGTTAATCAGATTTATCTGTGCTGATCTACAGTATTTTACTCTGCAATTTACACATGAAATAGTTTAGTCAGGGATTATCATAGGGAATAAAAACTGAAAAAAATAGGGACTAAGTACAGTGGAACAAAATGTCTTTAAAGCTTCTGGAATAGCTATGTCAGACATTAGAGAGATTACTGTTGAAGAGAGAAGAGGTAAGAGAGAGTTGGGGGAAAAAATGAAAAAGGAATCCCTTGTTGTCTGATAGTGTTCTTACCACTTCAGGTGTCTGCCAACACGTCTTTCTTCTCTCACTTGACTCTCAAAACACTGTTGTGAATTGCAGTGACTTCAGAAAAATGTGTGAAGCTGAACAAAGTATTTGTTACAGATATTTTCTACGTAGTCTTTCTATCTAGACATGCTTTCTTTTAAAGCAGTCATTACTACAGAGCCTTACAAATACCAGGTAGACTGACTGTATCAACCCCACTCTTGGTGCCCAGTTTGCACAGACCTGCTGAGACAGCTGGGCAGGCAATGGATAAATTTGGTTCCCAGGTGGTACCTGACTGTGATTGGTAATTGAGCCAGTTAATTCTCTGTTGCAAAGTGCCAACATCCTCATAAAACATGCATTGCTCTGCTAAGTTAGGGATCAGGACTGTCTTAATTGCAGAGGGAAAATAAACAGCAGACTGATCAAATATTGGTGTTCTGATCCAAAGTAGAGGTATAATTCAGTTCTGACTTAATTGATGTCATGCTTTTTGCGTACTTCCAATCACTGAATTATTTTGTAGAACAGAATCTGTTATTCCGTGGTCTTCTATGATTATTGTTTTATTCCTTATTATTTTTAACAGCAAGTAGGGGTATGATTCAGGTAATTGGTGTCTAAAAGTATTTCTACTGAAGTCAGAGATGAAGAGGCAGTGAAGGTGTAGTAGAAACTCCACTTTCAAAAAAATAAAAATGGGTGCTTGGGGAAATATCCAAAGCCTAATAATGTTACCAATACTTTTTATGAAAAAGTACTTTATAGGTCATTTTCTCTGCTAACATAAAAGATTGTCTGTCAGGAATCATTGAGGAATAGATTGAAATGAATTGTTTGGGTACAAAACAAAGTTACTCTAACTCGTTTTATTCATAACTATGAGAGTAAAGGCAAGATTTAACTTTTTCAAGTTTCTTTTTTTCCTAGATTGAGGTACTGGAAAAGGAAATTATCCAAGAAAAACAGAGTCTTCAGAACAATCAAAATTTGACTAAGGATTTGATGAAAGAAAAAGTACAACTTGAAAAGAAATTTGAAACACTTCGAGAGAACTTAGAACGACAAGTGAGTAACAGAATTAAAGGTCTTAATGCATTGTATTATATTGCTCTTTTTTTATTTCTCTATAGGCATAAAGGAATTGTAAATGTAGCAATTCCTGCAGCAAGATTACTTGTCTAAGACCTGCTGCCAGTGAGAGTCATGACTTATTTTTAGCTGAGTCTTTACTGTTAATTTTAGGACTTGTTAGTGTTGAATTTTCATGTTTGCTATAGTTGATTAGAGGGTGTAGCTCAGCCAGAATAGGAAATTGGTAACTTTGGAGTTAAGCCAAACACCTCTCAGTGGAGAAAAACAAGATTCAGGTGGCTGGTCAGTGTTTGGAGTAATGTTGGAGTACTACTGAGAAGTGCAGCAGTCGCCTCTTGCAGGGTCTTGTATCTGAGCTGGTCTGCTGCTGAGGCTGTCACTTACCTTTGTAATTATCTGGATACTATGGGTCCTGCCCCAGATTCTAAAGATCCCTTGCACCAGAACTACCAGCTAGTCACTGCTCAAAAATGATGGCAGAAGTTCTTATTTTGCTTGCTAGAAATTGGAATCTGTGTCTTATTAAAAGGTGTGGGCTGTATTTGGAAGGGTACTGATGTTATCGTATGGGTGCAGGCACTGGCAGAGCTTCTGCAGGTCTTTGAACAATTCAGAAGGCAGTTAATAGGAGACAAGCTATGGAGACTTCTGGAAAACATTGTTAGTAATCAAGTCCTTCAAAATTAGAACTGTGGTTATCTTTTATTAATTCCACTGCTTTTTGATGACTTTTGACATTTTATGGTTTAACTGAAAATTACAGAGTACAGTATTTTGGAATACAGAATACTTTAAAAATTCTGAAATATTGTAAAGCCCTTGTTTAATCAAAAAATCAAATTCTAGACTTGGAAGCTAAACCCCAACCACTGTGCTTGGCATGAAGCTTTGCTTTCATTTAAGATAAGTGGTGATAATTTTAAAGCAAAGATGCCATCTTATCTTGTTTCGTTACAATAACTGATTTATGCATTGTATTTGGAGCATGCTCAGAACCTTTCTGGAATGGGACCTAAGTCCCTTCTCAACCATCAGGAATCCACGTATTGTTTTCTGTGATGAAGTGGGACTGATAATTCTGTGAGACTATTTCTGCTTTAAAATAATGTAGATCCTGTAATTAATAGTTGTATTTAGACTTATGTACAAAAGAACACATCTTTTGCTCTGTTTTTTTATTGTGGCTGGCACTTTTTTGCATTTCTCCTAAATCGTTTATTGTTCAAACATCCTTTATGCAAACATCCTTTATGAAATGTGATCTGTGAATTTCTAAATACTGATCTGAATAGCTTTCTGGGTCTTGTAGTCTGTTAGTAAGGGGGGAAGAAAAAGAAAAATCAAGATATAAAAGCTATCCTTGTTCTTGAAGTAGATTTGAGAAAATGATTTATTCTTACCAGAGACTTTCTTTGCAGGCCATTTTGGAGCAACCTGTCCTAACTTTTTTTTTTTTTTTAACTGAAAAATTAATGTAGCTTTGATATTTCTCCCCAAAATGTGATTTGACTGTAAAGAGGATGCCCTCATGTCCCAAAGATCAGTCCTGTTTTTTCCAAGTGAAATAAAGATGCTGTTGCATCTGTTCCACTTCTTTCCATCTCAGGTTTGGTTTAGAACTCGACTGCAGTTTTATACTTTGTTTATATGTTTCTAGAAAAAGCTCTCTGGAAATCACAGATTTTAAGGAAACTAGATTTGATTAAACACAAATAAGAATGAAATGAAGTTAAGAAATAAAACACAGCTTTTGTGGGTTTTTTGTGTATTTTATTTTTGTACTCTCTGAAATCCAAGAGGAAAATATTTGAGGAGTCTCACTGACTTACAGCTTTTTTGTCAAACTCTCACCCCTGTACATTTGCACTGTCTGTAATGGTTCCAAAGAAATAATCAGTAGAGTAAGTCTCATTTAAAATCCTACCTTAAAAAGGCAATAGGATGCAGTCCTAGCATCTTAGTTGATGTATGGGAATAATTATTTGCTGACACGTTGCTTACTAAAGTTTGTTTTTCCCTTGAATTAGGTTAAACTATTAGAACAAGAGAACGAACGTTCAAATCAAACCATAGCTGCTTTAAGACAACGTGCACAAATCAGTGCTGAAGCACAAATGAAAGAAACTGAAAACGAAAACAAAATTCTTCACGAGTCTATTAAGGAAACCAGCAGTAAATTAAATAAGCTTGAATTTGAAATAAAACAAGTCAAGAAAGAAATGGAACACTATAAAGAGAAAGCAGAGAGAGCAGAAGAACTTGAGAATGAGCTGCATCGTCTGGAGAAGGAAAACGAATTACTGCAGAAAAAAATTGCTAACTTAAATATCACCTGTGAGAAGATAGAGGCCTTAGAAAAAGAGAACTCGGACCTGGACATAGAAAACAGAAAGCTGAAGAAAACTTTGGATAGTCTGAAAAACCTCTCATTTCAACTGGAGTCCTTAGAAAAGGAAAACTCCCAACTTGATGAAGAAAATTTAGAGTTAAGAAGAAGGATTGAATCTTCAAAGTGTACAAGCATTAAAATGGCACAGTTACAGTTAGAAAATAAGGAGCTGGAGAGCGAAAAGGAGCAGCTTAAAAAAAGCCTTGAACTCATGAAAGCGTCGTTTAAGAAAAGTGAACGCTTAGAAGTCAGCTACCAAGGTCTAGACACAGAAAACCAAAGGCTACAGAAAGCCCTTGAAAACAGCAATAAGAAAATTCAGCAATTAGAAAGTGAATTACAAGATTTGGAATCCGAAAATCAAACTCTGCAGAAAAACTTAGAGGAGTTGGTAATTTCTAGTAAGCGCCTGGAGCAACTGGAAAAAGAGAATAAGTTGTTAGAACAGGAGACTTCTCAACTGGAAAAAGATAAGAAACAGCTAGAGAAAGAAAATAAAAGACTTCGACAGCAAGCAGAAATTAAAGACAGTACTTTAGAAGAAAACAATGTCAAAATTAACCATCTGGAAAAGGAAAATAAGTCTCTGTTTAAACAAATAGCAGTCTATAAGGAGTCATGTGTACGCCTGAAAGAACTAGAAATGGAAAATAAAGAACTGGTGAAAAGAGCTAGCATTGATAAGAAAACCCTCGTCACTTTACGAGAGGTAAATAGAAAGTGGTTACCATTCTTGTTGTAATCTGTTTATAGCATAGAGAACTAATATCTATGTTTTGGGGAAAAAAAAAAAAAAGAATGCTTTAATCTGTAAACTGCTAGCATTATTTTAGGGGTTGCAGTAGGGACAGAGTTGCATAATAATAATAAATGCAGTCCTATTTACACTGAAATCTTTAAGGGTGCTTGGAGACAGTTATGGAGCCTTTGTTAAATGGATGTCATTTAGATTCTTCATCTTAGTGTTTGTTTGGGCTGCAGCATTACCCCTTGATTCTGATGTTCAAGACCAAGTTAGAAAGGAAGGGAGTGAAGAACTGAAATGAAATCCTACTTTTGGTTGCAGTGGAATGTCTGGTACAATTGAAAGCTAGCAACTGGAAGGAAGGGAGTTAGTGGCACAGACAGATTTTAGATAGCGATGGAAGATTTGTCCCATAGAGAAAACTAAGACTGTATCATTTTATTTGTATGATAACACTAACTTTTTCTGTGTAAGGACTTGGTGAATGAAAAACTGAAGACCCAACAAATGAATAACGATCTAGAAAAACTTTCCCATGAACTTGAAAAAATAGGCTTAAACAAGGAGCGTCTCTTGTGTGATGAGCAGAGTAGTGATGACAGGTAAGAATGGTATTGGCTTGCCCTGTCAAAAAACAGTACAGAAGTGAGGGTCTGTCTTATTCATAAACATGAAATGGTTTTATAGATGGTATTGTGTTTGTGTTGAGATTTTAATGCACGGTAACACACACAAAATAGAACTTGCTGTTGTTTGGTATGAGTCAGTTAGTTGATGCACTTTTACATTGGGCTGCCTTTGGCAATGAGTTACCAATTTTGCTACTAAGAAATTTCTTGAAGTATGTCAGTAGATGTGGTTAATGTATAATTAAAACAGCTAATGTTCTACTTGGTAGTGGAAACAGTAAAATATAGTATCATCTTAAGATTTTCCCTTTTTGACTGGTAGAAATGTTATTAACACTTTTGTCAGGTTAGCTTAAATTCTGTCTTTGCCTACTGCTATTTTCTTGTAAAATCTATGAAAAAAGAAATGGCTTGCTTCCCTTTCTATGTGGACGAAGACATTTCTAATACTTTCCATGCCTGCCAGCATAAAGCAGCTGCTACCTGCTACCTGTTTCAGTTTCCTCTATTGTATTTTGTGTTCTGTCTTCTCCTGCAGGGATTTAGGGAAAACTTGTGACAGAAGAAAAGCAGACAAGTATGGGCTTCTGGCCAATGTTTCCAGTCTTTCCTTCATGATGCTACTCTTTTCTTAAAAAAACAACAAAACCAACAGAAGCAGGGGAGAGTAATAGCTGGTGTTGTCATGATCATCTGTTATTATCAGTGGTTGTCATGTACATGTAGATTGGTTTAAGGGCCTTTTATATTGAAAGAAAACCAAATTACATTTCTTTTTCTTTGGTTTCCTTTTCTTGGTGCCAGAGCTGATTTAGTGGGGTGGTGCCATAGAGCCATTGCCATCTCTTGTTTTCTCCTGGTGTCCTTTACCTTCTCTCAGCTCACAAAATAAGAACTTCTCTCAAGATCAGCCCTTAGAACTTTATCTATGGAAGCAGATTCCTAAACCTTTTCACGTAGTACAGCTTCCAAAAGCACCTACACAGAATCACATTCTTTCCCATTTCAGATACTTCTCATTCATTCTTGAATGCCTTTTAAAAACTGCATACAGAGCTTGGAGGATCATGAATGAGAAATATTTGTTTGAAATGTGAAAAGTTTGGTTGGAAATTGTGCTTTTCAACTTTCCTGCCTTTTACTTTGCAAAGTGAAAACACTCTTTTTCCCCCCTCATTTAGAGAAAATTCCATCTGAGGCTAAGCTGATCCCATCTGATAAATTAGCTTTGAATTCTTTCCCATTTTGCCTTACCTTTCAAATGGCAGCTGTCTGTAGGCAAACATTTATAGATTCAGACCTTGAATCTGAAATACCCAAATGGCAGTGAGATCAGAAATTTGTACTGTTTCTTGTTGTTCAGAATTCAAAAGGATGCTGGAGAATGAGTCTCTGTTACTATTCTTTTTCCTCCTCCTTTTTCTGTGTAACTTTCTGTATAACTTTCTAATAACAGAACTTATTTGTAGCTGAATATATGCTTCAGCTCACAAAGATGAAATGCTGTTTGTTCTACTTTTCATAGAATGGCTGAAAACTATTTCTTGTACCTTACAATCTAGAATTCTCATCCTACTATGTGATGTTTTTGGACAGCTTTCTACTTATTAATTCTCTTACCATTGGTCTTCTGCTCCAGTTCCTGACTAGATCTAATGCTGTTGTCAATTCAGGAGTCTCTGCAGTCTCTTCTCTTCACTCTGACAGATTTTTCAGCAATTGAGATTAGGAAGGAAAGAATTTATGGCTGCTTCTATTTTATCCTACAGCTGGTAGAAGTGGGATGTCTTCCAAATCCTGAACACAAGTACAGTGACAGAACAGTTGAAAAATGGAGTGTGGCCTTCTAAAATCCTCTATTCTGAAAGATCTAACGATGCATTAGAATATCCTGCACTGACAGTTTCAGGAAATGCTGTTCTAAAGCAGTATATCCTAAATCTGGTCGCTCCTCTCCAAAATATGCGATTGTTTCTTTAGGTGCCCTACAATATTTTAAATATAGCAAAAAAAAAAAAAATGGAATCTTCATATGTCAGGAGTGGTAACAGTCTTAAAATAGCAGCAGCTGGGCTGAGTGAGCAATTCACACATTCATGCATCAAATGAGCATGCACCTGCAAAGAACTGTTCTCCATCCCTAATGCCTCCTCTATTTGAGCAGGCAGGAAATGGAAATTGATGAAAATCTTGCTCTCCAAATACTTCACATTTGAATTTAGTTGCAGTCCCTGCTGGATTTGCTGGATTGGAGCCAGGAAGAAGGGTGATGTCAGCACACACTCACATTAATTCTCCCAGCACCCTCCTGTTGTGGCTGAGTATTTCTTTTGTATATCTAATATGTTTTAAAAGAAAGAAGGATTTAAAAATGGTTTTGATTGTTACCTTCCATTTCTGTTAGAGACTTGATGTTATCACCAAGGCATCTTCATGCTTTTGAGTAGAGTTAGCACTTGGATGTTTTTGAATGTTGGGTCTATTGCTTCAGAGCACTGTGAAATTTAAATAACCTGAAATAATTGTTGAAAGAAAAACATTTTTTTGTGGCATGCCTTTGAATAGGTACAAACTTTTGGAGTCAAAATTGGAATCCACCCTTAAGAAGTCTCTTGAAATAAAAGAAGAAAAAATTGCAGCTTTGGAGGCTCGTTTGGAAGAATCAACAAATTTAAACCAGCAACTCCGTCAGGAACTTAAAACAGTAAGGATGTCTTTTTTTTGGTTAAGTGAAGCCTATTCCAGCTACTGTTGTTTCTGCTTTTTGCTTGGTATTTTTGTTTAAGGCAGCAAAAAAGATGAGTAACCTTGGGGTAGCATAAAGCAGGGCAAAGCTGTAATTGCTTTTTAAAACTGGAGTAATACAGGTCCAGAATTGAAATCGCATGAAAAGAAGTCGGTGATCATTGAATATGTCAGGTAGATAAATATTCTGCAGCCTGTTTGACTTGGGATGCCAAAAATAGTCAATTCTTAGCAAATTACATTTCTTGATGTGCTTTGAGCCTGAATGACTAGTTAAAAAAAGAAATAGTCTCGTATAGTTTCCTTGGTTGTTGGACTTGGTTATAAAAGTTGAGAGATACAATTGAAAGCACTAAAAGAAAATGAAGTCTCCTTTTGGTTCACAGTCATACTTGTCTAAGTGTTTATTGTGGTTGAGCTATCAGTATCCGTATGTCATTTTTACTGTACCTCATCAAACATAAAGAAAGCAAATTTTACAAATGCAATAGTATAGAGCATTTTTTTTGTACTGTGGAAAGTAGTATGGTCATATGATGTTATATGATGTTAATGCAAATTGTCTTGAATAATTTCAGGTGAAAAAGAACTATGAAGCTCTCAAACAAAGACAAGAAGAAGAAAGGATGGTTCAGAATCCTCCTCCAAGAAAGGGAGAAGAAAATCAATCTGTCAATAAGTGGGAGAAAGAAAACCAGGAAACTACTAGAGAATTACTGAAAGTTAAAGATAGATTAATTGAAGTGGAAAGGAATGTAAGTTTCTGTTATTCTCATTTGAAATATCTATCATGAGCTGTTCCATAATGTGAATAAGGATATTCTTAAAGAAGTGTGCAATTTATCACCTAATTTACAGAATCTGTGTTATAGTACATAGCACAGCTGGATCTTGTGATGCTGTAAAGCACTTGACAGGCATTTAAAAGGAAAAAAAAAAAAAGGAATTTTTCCCTTTTGAATCTACAGATATCTCACAAATCACTCACATGATCTTTATATACACACCACTAAGAGTTCTTTACTGTTTCTCCATAGGTCAAATACTAGTTAGCCTTATTTCAATCTTAAACTGTAGTGATATCATTGTATGTTACTTTTGTAATATAAGGTGATACAGTTTTGTTACACTCTGTAAATATCTGTGAATGTTTTAAATCTTTCTTGCTGCTGAAGCTGAAGTACAAAGGATCATAGTAGTGTAAACCATGCTGCTTTATTTGCTTTGGAGGAAGTGTTGTTTCCAAAGTTCCAGAAAAACCTGTGAACTCAAATTTTCTTTTTTGTTGTTGTTCAAAGAATGCTACACTTCAAGCAGAGAAGCAAGCACTGAAAACACAATTAAAGCAGCTTGAGACACAGAATAACAATCTGCAGGCTCAGATTCTTGCCCTTCAGAGACAGACTGTTTCTCTACAGGAGCAGAATACAACTCTACAGACTCAAAATGCCAAACTTCAGGTAATATTTTCCTATTTTCTTCTTAAAAGTAAGTTTAATTCAGAGGTTTTCTCAAAGGTAACTACACTAATGTAAGTCACATTTTGTTTCGGTGCACATGTGGAAGAGAAGGGAATGTGCAAATAATATGCACTGAGCATAATCAAATGATATTTAGTGATTGATGATCAAGAACAAAATTTCTGGAAGTTGCTTCTATTCCCTTGTGCTTGTTCTATTTAAACTTGTGGCTGTATAACCAGGAATAGAGTCGATTCTCTTATTCTATCTATTATTATTATTTCTTTTTTGATTCTAAATTAGGTCAGGGAAGTAGTTGATATGTCCACAGAGACTAAGAGGTTATTCTATTTTTATAGCTGGAATTCAAAAATAAATAAATAAAAAATCATACCTAAAAGAAAAAGCAAGGTGTTAGTTATTAAATACATATTTGGGTTTTTTTCCTCTGATAAATAAAATACTCAATGATTGAATTTTGGAGCTCTATAAATCAAAACTACTTGACGAGGAAAATTAATAAAAAGTCAGCAGTTCAGCACAAACAGATGCCAAAAAATGATGAAAAGTGGGCAGAAATCAGTGAGTGAAGGAATCCTTACATGAGTGAACAAATAATGCATTTTGTGAATGCCTTCAGTCAACGTTCTGCCTTCTGCTGTTGTACCACAGATGCACTTTCCATCTACCACACTGAAATCTAATTAGTGCACAGTGCTCCCCTTTGTGGCAGGCAAGCCTACGTACAAAACAGAGTATTTGTGCACATGGTGCACATCTAGGTTTTAACATATCAGTGGGCACAGGTGTGGAAATATCTTGCATCTCAGACATATGGGGGTATATATCTGGGATTCAGGACTGCTGCTGTTTTGTAATAACATTTGTCCAAATAGCAAGAATATCAGAAAGCAGTTCCTTTTTGCTTTATGGAGAAACATCACCACAAGCCTTTCCTATCTGACAAGTAAGGGTAATTACTGTAGATAAGTACTGTGATAATGAGTTGGAAGAAGTATTTCGCTTTTAATGTTGTTATTACTATGAGCCTCACCAAGCAATGTGATGTTAATAGCTGGAAGTGATAAGAGAATGTCTCACCCAGCATGAGAAAGGGAGTTCCTCTTCTTCCTTCAGAATTCAGCTGTTTTTCTCATCTGTTGGAGAGCAGGTAAATCTAAATCAAAATAAAAGCTGAAGTATGCTCGAGAAAATTAAAGTAACTATTAACCTGAAATGCAAACTAGACTGGTCTATGTTGACTACATTGAAGCTGTTCTTAAGCAAATGTAAATCTAGTATTCCTCCTGTTACCCCTAAGGGACGTATCAGAAAAATGATATAGTAAAGAATAACTGGGAATTCTGAACCAAATCAAACTTTGAATTCAGTCTATGAAGTTTTACAGCATAGATGTTAGATGTTACTTCATTTCCAGAGAAGGTTCAGCTTTATCATCTGCAGCAAAGAATGCTTCTGTTCCAACAGAAGGGGATTTGTTCCTTAGTAACAGCATGTACTGCAGCAACAGATTTTCTTGGTTTTGTTTTTAACCTTAACGGATACCTTGAGGGTATTAGAAGTCTCAGTCAGTTAGTCAGTTTATTTGCTTTTGTTTTTGATTAAGAAAGAGGAGGAAACATTACAGCTCAGGTGACGAGTACGTTAGGTATCCTCAATTATTTAATACATCTAAGGATTAGGTTAGGTTATTTTTTTATAGGCAAAGTAGAGATTGTTATGTCCTATGTTGAATACTTTAATGTATAATGGGCATTAATACTGTTCTGACATAGCTTTTAAAAAATGGACTCTTCCACAGGAGTGCTTTCTGTCAGATGCTACAACATGCACATAAAGTGATCAGCTGCTGCCATTTACTGTGATGGGAAAAGAACAGTAACTGGCAGCTTCTCAGTCAAATAGAATTTGGCTAGGTCCTTTCAAATTTGATAATTTGCCTTTCTCTCTGTTAAATGGATAGTAATGTTTTAAGACTAATTGTGAAGCCTACATGGATACAGCAAGGGTTTTGTGGAGACGATAGAAATTCTGTACTAGAAGAAGATTTTTTAAAGAAGAGTTATACCAAAATAAAAGGAACTTGCATAGTAGTAATGTCACAGACTGGATTTACATGACTAGAGGATCACTGACGATCCAAAATATTCTTAAGGGTGTACAGATTTGAGTTATTAGGATAGAAGGAGAAAAGTATTCTCATTAAATGTTGTCAGGTAATGGAGTAACTAGGCAGTTGCAGTTAGACACTCAAAGTTAAACATTCAGGAAACCCTTTAATGGGAGGATTCAGACAACGTGACTCAGTCTGAAATTAATTTGCTTCTCTCGTCAAATATTTACGACTGCAGGTTGAAAATTCTACCCTTAATTCTCAAAGCACATCTCTAATGAATCAGAATGCACAACTGTTGATTCAACAGTCTGCTTTAGAAAATGAAAAGGAAGGTGTGCTCAAGGAGCTGGAGGATCTGAAGTCGTTGTACGATTCACTTCTCAAAGACCATGAAAAACTGGAGCACCTACATGAACGCCAAGCTTCTGAGTATGAGTCACTGATTGCTAAACATGGAAGTCTTAAATCTGCACACAAAAATCTGGAGGTGGAGCACAAGGACTTGGAAGACAGGTAAATACTAACATGCATGTTAAAATTAGAAGACTTTTTTTTAAGCAAATTGTATTGTGTACTTTGAGTAATAAAAGTTTTATTCATACTAAGATACAAGATTTTCAGAATTTGAAAGATCATGGTTTCAAGAAAATTTCCATGTTTTCTTGTTACTCCGTAGAAAAGAAAGTTAAATATGATTTTTGTTTGCAGGTACAATCAGTTGCTTAAACAGAAAGTGCAGCTGGAAGAATTGGAGAAAGTGCTCAAAACAGAACAGGAGAAAATGCTGCAGCAAAATGAAAAACATGAGACTGTGGCAGCAGAGTATAAGAAACTTCGTGATGAAAATGATAGGTAAAGCAGAAGTTTGATGTGTATGCTGGTGGAGCTCTGAGTGCTGACCAGCATGGTCTAAATGAGTATTGCATCCACTCATGTTTCTTAACACCTGATGCCATGGACCAGAACATAAATGATCCACACCTTATAGAAACTGCTCTGTAATAGGAAGGCTGAATAGGGGAAAAAAACAAAAAGGCACAAAGAGTGATCATTTATCCTGACTAAACTGAATTTCACTTTGTAGCAGAAGAATGCCAGGCAAAGTGCTGTGCAGTGTGGATGTGGGCTGTAGAGAGAGCAACCCACAGCGAGTTGCTCGAGGGGTGGGATGACAAGTTGATGCTGATGGGGGTAGAAATATAATGATGTGGGCAGTGGAGGTCTGCACAACACATATCTGTGGGAAATTAGATTTAGAGAGAACTTACTACAGAAATGTTAGGTATTCTGTGAGAGTAGCATCAAGCCCTGGAAGCTCAGTGTTTTGAGGAAGCTTGAGTTGTGAATACATTTCCTGATACCAAAACTACATGTATAGTTCTGTTGTCTTTTACTTCCAGGCTTGCTCATACACATGATCAACTCCTGAAAGAGAACGAAGTTCTGCAAACTGATCATAAGAATTTGAAGACTTTATTGAACAATTCCAAACTGGGACAAACACAATTAGAAGCTGAGTTCTCTAAACTCCGAGAAGAGTACCAACTGCTGGATATTAAATGTACAAAAATAAGTAATCAGTGTGAGGTATGTAAAAATGACTATATTTTTAAGACCAGTATCATTGTAACATTATATATAAGTTCATAAAATAATATGAGGTGCTTGAGAACTGATCACTTGTTTATAGATAATGAAGAGGGTCTGAAGGTGCTGGGTGAACTGTATTAATTAAAGTGTTAAAACTCTTATCAGTTGAATCATAATTTAGTTTTGTTTTATTTGACTGTTGAAAGAAATAATTGTAGACCTCTAAGTTTTCTTGATAATCTCATCTGTGTATAAAATAGGTTCATATATGTATGCACATTTCATTTATTTTAACAGCTGCTTAGCCAGCTTAAAGGAAATATGGAGGAGGAAAACAGACATCTACTAGATCAAATTCAGACATTAATGCTACAGAATAGAACATTACTTGAGCAGAATATGGAAAGCAAGGATCTCTTCCATGTAGAGCAAAGGCAGTACATGTGAGTTTTGAAAACAAATGAAATTACTGTGATAAGAGCAGTTACATTTTTATTAAACACGTTTTGTTGTATACAGAAATGAACATATCATAAGTAGCATGTTTCTCTTTTAAAAAAACAAAAACTTAAGTCATATATGGACAGCAGCTGATTAAAACTAAGAACACTTGTTTTTAACTCTTAAAGATGAGTGCAACTATTTTTGTTATTAGTGATAAAAATGTCTAATTGAAACGTCGTTTATTCCTCATTCAGAGGAATCCTGGATGTGTTTGCAAACTGCAGCCTGTTTAGTGAATTTGATAGAAAATAAACTTGTGAAAATGATCCTGGTATGACCTATATACACCTTTTGGGGGGAGAGGTTCTGTTGTATTACGAAGGTTGATGTTCTTATTGTAGTGCAGGCTGCTTGTTCCCTTTATTTCACTGTCTTGATATTTTTTTTTAAGAAGAACCAAGTGTTAGATAAGAATTTCCCACAAAAACTGTCAGCTCTCAGATAACTGATGTCCAGAGGAGCGTGTTACTTGCATGTTATGTATTCATTAAATATTCATTTTCCAAGCATACATTATCATTAATTTCTGTTCACAGTGACAAGCTAAATGAATTAAGGCGACAGAAGGAGAAACTGGAGGAGAAGATAATGGATCAATATAAATTTTATGAGCCATCTCCACCCAGAAGGTAGTGATCCATATGGAATGTTGTGTTGTAGATATCTATTTTATACCCATTCTGTTCCAACTGAAAGATGAGATTTCTTTAAACTTCAGAGGAACAGAATCACGTCTGTATTCTTTCGTACATAGGACAAGTATGAAGATCTAAGTAATACGTTACAAATGCAAATAAACGTACTGTATTCTTGATAACAGAAGGGGCAACTGGATTACACTGAAGATGAGAAAACTGATGAAATCCAAGAAGGATGTTAATCGAGAACGTCAGAAGTCTGCAACCCTTACACCAACCCGTTCAGAATCCAGTGAAGGATTTCTTCAGCTGCCCCACCAGGACAGTCAGGATAGCTCCTCAGTGGGCTCAAACTCTCTTGAAGATGGCCAGGTCCTGGGAACCAAGAAGAGTACTAGTGAGTACTACTACGAAACCTCTCTTTAATGCATTTAAAAATAAAGATGTTGTCGGTTTAAACCTGTGTATTAGAGAGGATTTTTTTTTTACAGATAATCCTTAAAGTCTTTAGGAAATGTGCCTGATTTTTTTTCACTAGTTAAATTTTTTTTTTCAGATTTCATGCAGATCTTTTTAGTGGGCAGATGGTAGTTTTTAGCATTTCTGTAGCTCTAAATGAAGATGTTGAGATGAAAGATTGAGTATTATTATTGGGTCAGGAAAGCAGAATTTCAGGTACAATGTTAGATAACATCACAGGGACCATGTTTTGTTTCTTGCTTTTGTCCTTGCATGAATCCTTCCCCTCATCTTTGAGAGTGCTTTGCAAGCTGTGGCTGTGCTAATCTGTAGTTGCTAAATAGATCTGCTATTTGGAGATGGTCCTCCAGCATCTCACAGAATCAGTGGTGAAGATTTCTGACATTTTGAATATGCAGTGGGAAGCATTATATAGGGATATACAATCTGGTTTTTAACAAGCAAACAATAGCAACAAAACAAAACCACTTGTTACTCATCTGAAGGATTAAAATAAAAAGACTAAAGAGAGAAGCTGAGGAGCATCACAAAAGTGTGGGAGGATCAAATATTTCAGATTTGCTTACATTGAAAGAGCATGACACCCACCATTTGAGGATGACCACCATATAAACAACCAGGTTCTGTGTCTGATATATCAGTATTTTTTGTCATCCACTAATGGCATGAATCACAAACTGTCCAATTTCTTCAGAGATAACATTACAGACAAGTTCTCAAGTTGCAGTGATTGTGTTTAATAATTAGACATCAAAAGCATTTTTGGCTGTGCATTTAAAAGCATCAGAATACATGTTTAATAACAATCATTTTTAAATTTTAAAAAAGTTCTTTTGTCTTGGGTTTCAAAATACATCACATGGATATTCTGCTGTCATGCCAGCTATGAATTTTCTGTGTTCAAAATAATTGAAACTGCTATGGTGTTTTTTTCTGAGCTTACTACAAGCTGAAAGCTCTAAAAGCACTATTTTATGGAAGTTTTCAATTGGATACGTCATTTTTTAAAAACAGTAAAATATTGAATTTGAGGGTGGACTTGACTGCCTGATTGGCTGCTAAATTAACAGTTTGGGGAGTTCAGATTTCTCAATGTAAGAGTCTCTGAAGTTTCAAAACAGGTACCTCTGAGTTTTGAAAAAGTGTATTTTAGAATGTAAACTCCAAGTCTTACAGAGTTCAGGACTGAGTGAAGCTACAGTGGATGTGTTTGCACGTGTGGTTGAATCAAATGTGTATGCTTTGGTTCAGGGTGGGTGCATCAATAATGCTGTGTTCTGGAAGGGTTCTCCTATGTGCATTTTTGTGTTCATACTTGGGACTTTGTGGTGTTAGCACGCTGCTGCTGCACTCCTCATGAAGCCAAGGTTGAAGCTGAGGTGGCTGATCCTTAAAAGAGGTTTGAAATTGTTCAGATCTCATTAGTTTTCTAGCCATCTTATTCACGTTCCTTTTAATTGCAGTGTTTTTATCCACAAACTCAAAGGGCTGATCTAATTCTGAATCCTATCTTTCTTCCATTACATGTGTCACCATGACATCCATAGTTTTTGATAGAATTGTTTGCCAGCTCAGTGCTAACAATCTTAATGAGACACACAATTAAGATCAGAATATGCCAGTGAGAAGCACCAGTAGTGGTGCACATTTTGCAGTCTACCAAAATAACTTTTGTGTCTCCCTCTCCTATTCTTAAAGAAGTGACTCTGCAGTAATGGCTTCCACTAAAAGAACACAGGAGAAAAAATCTCTACATTTGTCTTCTGTCTATGCGTGGTGTTGTAGCTTTTCACACCAATGGAAGGCCATTTGTGGAACAGAACTTGTCCTGTCCTCAGCCCCACTGATCTCCTATGTTTGTAAAAGGAGGTGATCCCAGAGGGAAATGAAAAACCCTTGCATGTGTCCTTCAGAAGGTAAGAGAAGGTGATTTCTGTTCCCCAAATTGCCACGATTGGCACAAATCAGTGATGCTCTCAGGGGGTTTGTCATACAGTGTCCTCCAGCAATCCTTGAGACCTGTGGGCTTCCATATCCTCTGTTAGAGAAACGGAGATGATAATTCCAAAATGAATTATTCTGCTACTGCTGCTGATTGAAAACAAAAGCAACAGCTGGGATGGTTTTCATCTGCTCTCAGAGAGCCTGAAGCCCTTGTTTGGTTTCAGAGGCCTTCAGTTTTCACATATCTACTCAGTGGTTGAGTCTGGAGAGTACCACAGATCTGATATGTGGTTTGTGTTCTCTGCTCTGAGAGGGGATGGGATACCATTCTGAGCTTTTGTGTAGAAACCTTTTGGATTGTTTTTTTTCCTTTATAAGGAGAAAAAAAAAAGAAATACTTCTGTTATCTTCCACTTCAGCAGCTATCAACAGCACCCACAGAATCAGGGCTATTACTAAGCTGCCATCTTTAAACAGTAGTTCCAGTAGCAGATGCATTACACTATCATGGAAGTACCAGGAATAAATCATGTTCCATTTTGAAGATGTCTGCCAAATGTCTTCCTGCGTGCACGAACAAAACTTGGGACTGTAACACTGTCATACAGAACTCACCGTGGTGTTCCAGGCAAATGGCAGTGGGATGGCAACCTGGAGGGTTTTGAGTTTGAGTGGGAGAATTCTGCAGAGTTCATTTTCAACTCAGGAAGTAAGATTGTGTTCATAGAATCTCAAAAGAGAAAGAAAACGTAATGCATATAACTAGAGTTATAGCTTATATATAGAGGATTAGTAAGATTAAGATTCCTCCTACCATCACCAATTTTTTGGAGGTTTTTGCAATAAATATGCAAAGAGCGAAAGCTGCCTAAGCTGAACTTTTCTGTGGTTTTCTATTTGCTTTTGCTGTAGCTCTGCTGTTCCAGAATTTTTGCAGGACATTTCTTTCAGGCAAAACAAGCAGGCACCAAGGAAATTATATGCAAAGGACTTCACAGAAGATACCAACTGTTGGAGGCAGCAAGTAAAATAATCTAAAGCATTCTGTAGAAAGGATTACAAATAGCTCTTAACTGCACTGTGTTCTCTGTAGCTTTTTCAGTTTACATTTGTTCTCTTTTGTTAGAAACAGTCTTTATACCCCAGTCTTTTTACCCTGTGTGTACATACCAGCCAGGTTGGTATTGCTCTGCTCTGTGACTTGGGCTGCTGGGTGCTGTTTGAAGACAGCAGAGCACTGTAGACATACTGCTCTTAAGTGCAAACACAAAATAATACAATAGAAAGAGATTTATTTCTGTTTCAGGTTAGTTCTTGTGCACTTGTAAGTGTATATGTATATATGTACATGTAAAATACATATGAAATATGTATATGTGTACATATGAAATAGAATGGATGTATAACAAGCTACTGGTTTAGTAGAAAAAGCGAATGACAAAGCATGCATCTCAAAAAGTCACTCTGGAGAGGTAAAATAAGCAGATCTTGGGTTGACAGAATGTTCTGTGCTGCTTTCACATCTGCATAAATAAGAACGTTCAGTGATTCCATGATGTTTCTTTCTGGATCTTTATATCTAGTTGTTTGCATGTGGCTCCTGTATGCTTCGCAGTCAGCTGACACACTTATCTGCTGCTTCAAGGTGAAGTAATTAGTGAATAGCAATCAGTTACTAATGGAGAATAGCTGAATCTAAGGATGAGTAATTTTTCCCCCTCCCCATTTTTAGATACCGTTTGTAATTTTAACTCTGTTTCCTGGTATTTAGTATGTTATTTTAACTTTCCTTTAGTCCTCCTGAAATATCACAGCAATGCTCACGTTTGTATTTTCTTCTGCTATTTTATTTATTTTCTGAATCTTTGGGGTTTTTTCAGCCAAAAGATTCGGTATTTACTGTTCCAGCCAGTAAATATTGATTTCATTTTTCTAACTACGGATTCATCTTAATTTACAGACAATTCAGTAAAGTATTAAAGTCACTCCACACGTAAATGTAGCTGCTTGAATATAAGGTCCAATATTATTTCTAGAATACGGTATGTAATCAAAATTATTAGTGAGCAAAAAATATTAATAAAGATTGTTTTGTTCTGTAGACATTGGGCAGAAGTTACTAAAGTTACCATTTTCAAAAGATAATGATAAGAACATATTTCAAAGTAGGCATTGTACTTAATTACTTCCATTTAAAGTTTTCAGCTTCACGTCTTTGTTTACGTTCAGTAAATGTGTTTTTCACATTTATAAGAAAAAGTCTTACGATCAGTTTTTATAGCCATCTCCGAAGAAGTTCCATGCCGTTTTCCAGGAGGTGGCAGTTAGAGCTTTCAAACTGTGATACTCTTCACCATTGTTTTCGGTGCATTTCTGAGTATATTAAGGTTTTCATAGAGTAGTTTCCATATTTTGGTGTAGCTTTCATGTGTCATTATCACACAGAAGCACGAGAGTGATAGTTCGTAGCATAGCGTACATAGCTTGAACTCAGACATTCATTTCTGTCCTTAGTTTCAACATTTAACTTCCATCTGTTCTTCTCCCTTTTTTTTCTTTCATTTCCCTGTTTCCGTTTTTCCTCATGCTATGACATAAAAGTGGTTGCACTGAAAAGACTGCCCTTTTTGAGGAACAGACCGAAGGAAAAAGACAAAATGAAGGCCTTCTATCGTCGCTCCATGTGTAAGACTTTATGACAGTTCAGCTTCTTTAAATGGCTACACTGGCTTCCATGACTAATTTTTCACTAACCTCTTCCCTGGACTGCGCTGTATTTTTCCTCCTATTTTGCAATGTGCAAGTCCTGCTACTATACAAGGAGCTGGAGCCTTTTCTCTTTCCTTTTTTTTAAACCTGAGCACTGAATACCTTATATATGTCCACATGTGCACACACACATTCACATGCACACGCATATATATATTCAGTGCATCACAATTACATATACTTGTTTACATATTTGTCTATATACACATGTCTGCATGTGTATATAAATTTACAGTGCACTGTGTAAGCATAAGTAGCTCTAAATTAGAGGTTTCATAAGCCTTTTATTAAGAAATCGCTGCAATTTTTCGTTTGAAGTGAGTATAGAAAAAGTAGTGCAAGGTTGTATGGTGGTCTGTCACTCTTCAAGTATTCATCACTTGTTGTTGCCAAAATTTTGTATTGATTTATTTTCCCTTTTTCATGAGGAGTGGAGAAGTTTCTCTGTCTTTGCCAAGTAAGGGTGAATGTCATCAGAAGTCATCTTTTCAGATCCTTTTATTATGTGAAGTACAGTTTGCCTGCAGTAACCTGCACTGTACAAGGATCCCGTGTCATTGTTGGCATTATATTGTGTTAGCACCTTGCCTGTTTATTATTCATTCCATTTTATCATTGCAAACAGTATATCAAAGCTTCTAATATATATATATATATATATTACACATCATTGCAGCACAAGCATGGCAATTATAGCTAATAAAATAAATCAGATTTAAGAACCATACAGAATTCAGAGAAGTCTCCTGACTTTCAATAGTTCTCATTCATTGAGCTGATTGCATGTCATAATATGGATGATCTCATGTTTGTACCTTCTGGTATTCAATGCGCTTTAATGCTTAGAGAACTGTCAAACATTTTGCAGTGTAAAATAAGAACAAAAGCAAATACATTGACCATGCTGATCATTTGCTTTCATTTGCATCCCAGCCATGAATGACCTGGTGCAGTCCATGGTCCTAGCAGGAGGACAGTGGACAGGTAGTTCTGAGCATCTGGAGGGTCCTGATGATATATCTGCGGGTAAAAGGAGAAAAGAATTGGGAGCTATGGCCTTCTCTACTACAGCTATCAACTTTGCAACTGTCAACTCTTCTACAGGCTTCAGATCCAAGCAGTTGCTAAATAATAAAGGTATAGGTAGAAGCTCTTTGCACCATGATGTGTCTGTGTGTAACAGCAATTTCATGTATGTATTTTTTTGTATTTATTTATTTTTTTCAGCAAAAAGCAAACCTGAGTAATTGAGTTATGGTGATAAGACAGTGAATGGCTTTAATAACTATAACTAGAAAATGTCAGGATTGTGCATACAGAATGTTACATAAGTAAAACTGGGTTGATTTGAAAATGATTGATGTATGTCACAGATAAGTGCATCTATAATCTTCATTTCATTTCACATCTTCTTTTGTCTCTGTGTTTAGATGCTGTGTCTTATGAAGATGTAAGTCCACAAGGTATTAGTGATGACTCTAGTACAGGATCAAGAGTTCATGGTAAGATATAAATGTTAATTAAATTACTTATGGATGTATTATGTGAATGTTAACAATGTTTGGAAAAAAAACTCCCAAAACAGTAAATGGCATGGTTACAAGTGAGCATGCTTTCTGTGATTTGCATACCTCTTGAATGCATAGTATCAGTATTGTTTCTTCTGATAATCCTTTTCTTCAAATACTATCAGATAAAATATTCTCTATCTCTACTAGAAAGTGTGAAGTGCATCTGAACAGGATCAAAATTTTTTGCCTTTAAAAATTGTATTTGGAGTTTTGCAAAATAAAGGAAGCTGTTATAATCTCAATCCTAAGGAGAAAAAAAAAAAAAGAAAAAAAAAAAAGAAAGCACAAAACAATAACCAGCCAAACAAGAAAAATCACAAATGAACCATAAAAGACAACCCACAAACAAACAAAAAGCAAATCCAAATCTGGCCAGATTTGCTTGCCAATATTTCTTGTTCAGTGAGATGTAAATGTGTTGTGTACGTATCTTACAAAGAATCATTACAGGTTTCTTCAAGCAAAAGTATGAATTGAGAGCTGTGAGAAATTATTTAGAAGGGGAAGTTGTAACTCTTCTGAAAGTACTTAAAATTAGTATGAACTTGTTTGAAGCTAACGAAATAACAGTGCATTTCCCTTGTATTGGATAGGAGTACAGGACATTAACTGTGCAGATGCTCTTGCTCCTCCTGTTCGTGGCATTTCAACAATGTGCAAGGTTCCCTGTCAAATCTGTTGTAAGTGACCTAATCACGAGCAACTTCCTGCATGCCACTCCTTTCATCTTAAAAATCCTGGTTTCTCACTAACCACTCTGTTCCACTTCTAAACGTGCACTCTATTTCTCTCTCCCTCTCCCTTGTACCTTACTATTCCTGTAGTGCCCTTTTCTAAAGTGTCCTCTTGGACTGCCTGGAAATCCCTTCGCTTTCTGATCTGTAAGAAACCAATTTGTTAACAGTGGGCATGCTAAGCCTGTGAAGTGCATGATTCCTGCCTCAGAGCATTCTGTGATCAGAATGTAAAGGTACCCTGTCATCTGCTAAAATTTTGTTCATCATGCTATCTCCTCATTTTCCAATTAGCTTCCAGACCAGCCAGCCTTGATAGTGGCAGAACATCCACTAGTAATAGCAATAACAATGCTTCACTCCATGAAGTCAAAGGTATGCTGTAGGTGAATTTACATACATGCTTCATTGCCATTATTTTCTCTGTAGGAATTTTTGCTTGAATTGAAAACAAAACTAAAACAAAACCAGCAACGCAGCATGCTTGTCTGTAGGTATGTTTATACATCAGCCTTTGTTCCCCAAATCAGGAAAGGATTCAAGTATTAATAGAACTTATATTTTTAATAGATTTTTAAGTGGTGATACTGATATGTAGGTTTCAGACTATTTCAAACCCCAAAATCTTACCCATTTAATGATCTTGCAAAATAAATATTCTCCCCAAATTATATTAAAATCATATATCATTTAACAGATATTTGAGTTACTCTGCTATTTTTCCTGTAGCATCCAACTATCTGCTCACTCCTGCTGTAATGCTATTTAGCATGCAACACAAAACAGGCAAACTTGGCGTATGTTGCAGAAAATATGTTCTTTCCATTTCTGATTGGAAAGATTGATTTCCATCTCTGATATTCTGTATAATGTGAAACTCACTGGTAGTACATTAAAATGTGTGCTTTACAGGCAAGAACAGAGGCATATCTTTAGTCTCTCAGAATACAGCATTGGGTAGACAGAGGTGCAGATCATAAGTGAAGGGTAGTTTTTAATTTAAAAGCTATTATGCCACATTTAAAAAGCTATGAGAGGTAAGTCAGGGGAGTGAAATTGTACTGTGTTTGATTTGAGCAATATAGGGTAATTATATTTTTCAGTACTCTTAAGTGGAACTATTGTGAACCGAATGTGAAAGTGCTCAAGTTTGAGAAAGGTTATAATGCTTTAACAGCTTTCGTATATTTTGTGATGGAATATTTAATACTGTTTACCCCAAAAGCAGGTATGGTTAACAATCAGAGCAGACCTCAGAGTCACAGCAGCGGAGAATTCAGTATGCTACATGAACACGATGCTTGGTCAAGCAGCAGCAGCAGTCCTATTCAGTATTTGAAGGGTCATACAAGGTCCAGTCCTGTGCTTCAGCAAAAAACACCTGAAACACTGGATCGTTGTGGAAAACAGATCAAAACCGATTCTCCTGGAAGTGAGGTTGTTACCCTGCAGCAGTTCTTAGAAGAAAGCAACAAAAGTACCTCAAGCGAGGTTAGTTCAAAACATATTTTAACTATGTATTACACCATATCATTTACTCCAACTGACAGAACTAATAGAATATTTATCACGAGTAGAATTGCTTTAGAACTTTGTGGGAACTCTGGTTATGCCTACGTTTAGTAGTGTGGGCTGTATCCTGATATACTGTACTTGCTGTATTTTGCTTGACTCTAGGATGCTGAGGCAGATAAAAAAAAAGTCAGACTCTACTGCACACAGTTATCTGGTGCACTGATGTGTGATGTGATGTTTATCTTCCAGTTCAGCTCTTGTCTTCAATGGGAGCTACTGTATTACATCAGCAGCAAAGGAGATATTTTACTTCAGTCCCTGAGGAGAGAATCTCGGTGGTTTCATGTTTACTTACTAATTTAACACCACTGGGCAAAACACCTGGCTCACTGAAATCTAGGAGTAAGACACAGAGAATGTTATTTAAAATCAGTGCCAGTTTGTTAGAAACACAGAATCACTCTTGTCTCTGCTGCTATTCTAATTCCTTCATCACTCACGTAGATCTGTCTGAAGCTTAGGAGTGTTCTAGACTCTAAGGCAAGGCAGTTACTCTGGCTAGAGCCTATCGAAGGTAAGGATTAACCTCCATCTATTTTAGTTACACAATTATAATGGAAACATATAGATTCACATCTGAATTGATTGGAGTAGTCTGTGACTTGAGTTAGGAATAAATCCCTGGATTTTTTGTTAGCTATTTAAAAATGATGTTGCACCTGTGATCTCTGGCAAGATTTTTTTGTTTGTGGTGGTTGTTAGGTTTGTTGTTTGTTTTTCATCTGTTTAAAATGTTAGACAATGTTCTGGAAATAGAATTAAGAGACTACCTGAGTCATCAAATCTAATCCACTGCTGCTCAGGGATCAAGGAATCCATTTCATAGAATCACAGAATAACTCAGGCTGGAAGGGTCCTCAGAAGTTCACCCTTCAGGCTTTTCGAGAGCCTTTCCTTAATGCTTTTATCTGAAAGATTTGTTCCAAATTACTTCCTTTACTGTTTCAAAAAACGCTGAAGTCTTTAAGTCTGTTTGAAACTCATCCAAGTTCAGCCACCAAAGCTCTATATGCTTTATATTGTTTTCTGAGATTCTTGTCTTTATTATTTGAGTATGTAGAGGTGGTAAGCTTTTAGCTCCATTTTATCAGTGTAAGTTAAAGTTCATGTGAAATTGCTTAGCAAAGTAGTGATGGCTGGTGCAGACAGCAAGTGGATGAGAAGATGAGCTTGAAGTTCTCAGCTTTTGGCTTTTGCACTATTTGGTGCTATGGGTGCTAATTCCAAGAAGCTGTGATTGCCATGATACCTCGTTTTTAACTTGCTTGTAAGTAATCTGTGCAGAAAACTCCTGTGTACAAATAGCACTTTTAGTTCTAAGGTTTTATATTTGAAAACACTTCCAGAATTTTTGTGTGTTCTCAAAGATCAATTAAGAAAAAGTAAAAATTACAAATTATGTATGCATTTACAATATGTTTGATATTTTTGACAGATGAAATCTGGGAGTGAAGAGAATCTTTTAGATGAAGTAATGAGAAGTTTATCTGAGTCATCTGAGCTGACAGGAAAGGAAAAGCTAAGAAAGGCAGCTGCTGGTTGTGGAATTGTGAGGTCACTGAGTGTAAAAAACCCAGTTGATTTCTCAGATGGACGATCCATTAAACCAGAACAACTTGTCAGGCCCACCCTTCGTAAGACAGAAGATGCCTATTTCACTAGCTCTCCAATAAAATTTACATCAGGCACTCAAGGGAAGGCCAAATCAGTGAAAGAAAAGATGCAAACATCTGCATCACAGCGACAATCAAGGGATTGCAATCCTTATGCTACCTTACCTCGTGCGAGCAGTGTGATTTCTACAGCAGAAGGAACTACTCGAAGGACAAGCATTCATGATTTTTTGTCTAAGGACGTTAGGCAACCTGTTTCTAGTGATCCAGCAACATCCACGGCTGACAGAAGTGTTCCAGCAACATCTAGTGAGTACTCAGCACACCAGTTATCCTCTCCTTTTTTTCACTGTGTGGCTTACAGAGTAGATTGTGTTCCACAAAGCAATGCAACTAACACAGTTAAACCACGTAATTTAGGATGCAACTCTGATGTGCCTAAGACTTCAAGGATGGAAAGGTCAAATTTTTGTGAGAAAACTTTCTTAAGCACAAATATGTTTAATGATAAAGTCAGTCTATCTGGTAGTGAGAACACAGGATCTTTTACTGTGGTGCAGCCGTTTTTATCCCTTAACACTGAATTAGTTAGTAATATCAGTGGATTGCCTCCAAGGTCTGCATCAAAAGCTGATCAGGCAAACCTGTCAATGTTTGTATCCGTACCAAAAAATCAGGAACAGCCTTTTACCAATCAGAAATCTGCTAATAGGGACTTACAGTCAGCACTAAGTAGTGAATTTGTTCCTACCAGCTGTGTGAACACTAGCGAGGCAGAATCCCTGCTTCTTGTTTCTGAGGATAATAAAACTGTGTGGTATGAGTATGGTTGTGTGTGATAAGAAAGCTGTATTATTAAATCTATAATTATATAGGACACATAGGTGCTCTGTTGAACGTCCACTGGACTTAGAGAGAATTTCACTACAATGAAAAAGTAACTTCATTTAGATCTGTGGGTTGTTTTTTCTTTTTTTCCTGAGAGCAGTGGCATACAGCTCAGTTGTGAACTCAAGCATGTGTTCGAATGTAAAATTGTAACCTCATCCAAGTTTGCATGAAACATTAATTGCACTGTATATATTTTGCATGCTTTCAAAATCTTTATAATGCAAGCTATATTTTTATTTGTCGTTCATTACAAATATTTTGGTTTTTTTATCTGTACGTAACTGAATGCATGTTAAAGCAATTGCATGCTGCATTGCCAGAAGTGGCACAGTGAACTACAGTACAAAGACTGCCTTTCAGTTCTGCTTATGCTTCCAGTTTATCAGTAACACGTTGACTTTGTGTTTGGAGTACAAATACATTTTTCCTTGTTTTTCTGTTTAAAAAGAGATACCAATGAAAAGAAGCATTTAGAGAGATTTCAGTTCCTTACTTTTAATGTTTATACCACCTCCTGTGTATCAATCTGCACAAGAAACAACTTATAATCCAGTAACTCAGTGACTGTCCTGCACAAAGATATGATTCACATGCCATATTAATGTTTAAATATTTTAGTAAGTAATTAGAGTTACCATTCATAATTCTAAACCTCAAATGATGATTCTTTATTAAGAGGTAACAGTGGAACAACATGCAGCACTTGTGATGAAAAAATGATCCTTTCCACCTTTTCCCATTCGTATATGTTGTCATTCCACATCTGGTGTACAAATGTGGTGCAGTATGCTGTCTCACTAGGAGTCAAATAACACTGTGATCTGAGAATCCATGTGTTGTGTGGTAATAAACTTGTATTGATTATGGTGGAAATTCATTTTTTCTTCTTAATATAAGTAACACTCATGTAATAGAAACCAAGATGTGTAACAGAGTAACAAAAACTGTTAATTAGTGCTGCAGAAGGCAAGTAATTTGGAACTTGCTTACAAATTTAAGTGTATAACTCATTAAGTTCCAGACAACCAGCTAAACAGTAATGTTGAAAAATGATGTCTTAAACCATGGTTTCAAGCAACTTCTTGAAACTTTGTAATGATAAACACATGTAAAATATATAAACATATACACTCATATATACACATAAAATAATGAATAACCTATTGTGATTTTTCCATTTGAATTTATTTTGTCAGCAGTTTTGTGCCTGTCATGGTGCTGCTGTGGGTGCTGGACTTAAATTCCTCAGTGTTTAATTAAGGAGGAGTAGAAGTGATGCAAAAATACAGTTCCTTCAGAGAAAGCAGCAGACATCCCATGTGCTGGTCTCTAAAGTCTCCATTTAATACGTGAGAATTGTTAATAAAATGTGGAGGTAGCTCTTCTACAGACTCACATGGGTTAGAAGGGACCTCTGGAGATCCCCCAGGTCAAACCTCCTGCTAAAGCAGGTTCCCTACAGCACGTTGCAAGGAAAGTGCACATGCACTTGTGATCATCTCCAGGGAAGGACACTCTGCCTCCTCAGGTCAGCCTGTTCAGTGCTCTCTTAACCTCAAAGTAAAGAATTTCTTTCTCATGTTCAGGCAGAACTTCCTGTGTTCCAGTTTGTGCCTGTTCCCCCTTGTTCTGTCACTGGGCTCCACCAAAAGAGCCTGGCCTCATCCTCTTGACACCTGCCCTTTCGATATTGATAAGATCCTCTCTTAGCCTCATCTCCAGACTGAGCACTCGTAGGTCTCTCACCCTTTCCTCATAAGGGAGAGATGCTTCAGGCCCTAATGATTTCTGTGGCCTTCTGCTGGACTCTCTGCAGAAGATTTGTCTTTTTTAAACTGGGGAGTCCAGAACTGGACACAGTATTCTAAATGTGACTTGACCAGGGCAGAGTAGAGGGGGAGGATCACTTCCCTTGAACAGTGCTCTTCGTAATGCACCCCAGGATCTCATTGGCCTTCTTGTCCACCAGGACACCCAGGTCCTTCTGTGCAGTGCTCCTTTCCAGCAGGTTATCCTCTAACCTGTATGTCTATGTAACCTGTATGAGGTGTGTGGTTATTCCTCCCTGGATGTAGGACTGTACATTTGCCCTTGTTGACCCTCAGTTTCCTGTTCTCTTGCCTGTCCAGGTCTTGCTGAGTAACAGCCACTGATCAGCTACTCCTCTCAGCTTCAAATCATCAACAGTCTTGCTGAGGGTGGACTGTCCCTTCATCCAGGTTGTTGATGAAAATATTGAATAAGACCAGACCCAGTACCGACCCCTGGGGAATACCACTAGCTACTGCCCTTCAACCAGACTCTGGGCTGCTGATCACAACCCTCCTGTCATCTACCTAGCTGGTCATGACAAAAGGCTACCAGATTGATCAAGCTTGATTTCCCTTCGCTGAACCCATGTTGGTTATTCCTAATAACCTTTCTTTCTTCCACTTCTTTGGAGATGAAATTCAGAGTAAGTTGTTTCATCGCTTTCCAGGGACAGAAGAGAGGCTGTCTGGCTTGTAGCTTTGCATGACCTCCTTGCCCTTTTTGAAGACTGGGGTGACACTGGCTTTCCTCCAGTCTTCACACACCTCTCCTTTTCTCCATGACCTCCCATAGGTGATAGAGTGGTTTGGAATCACTTCTGCCAGCTCCTTCTGCACACGTGGGTGCATCCAGACCTTCAGGTACTTGTCAAGATGAGGAATGACCTAAAATCTCAAGAAGAGTCTTAATTTCATACCCATTTTAGTCTTCACTCTTAGACATTGTGTTCTGATTTTAAGCCACATCTTCATTTCTGTTAATTCAGAGATGTGTTTGAATTAGCTTTGAAAACACCTGTAGCGATGTGCATAGCGTATGCTGGAAGTTATTTGAGGAATTAGAGAACATCTTTGTAGCATTGCCAGTACTTTGTGTGAACTCATTCTGTGTCTCCAGTATCTGTTCTTCTTAACTGATTGCAAGATTGTGTCTGTTAGCAAAGCTTTTTTATGATCAGAACAAGGTTTGTAGCTACAGACGGTATCTTCTGTTTAGATCCAATTGTTGTTGGTTGAGAAATTGGTAAGGTTTCAGACATGCTGTCAGCTCTTGTGCAGAAACTTTACCTTGCTTAGGTCCTTAGGCTGTCACAACAGTGAAAAATAGAGTATTGTCTCTAGATGTATGCTTGTTACAAAACTTCCCTGCACAAGCACTAGTCCCCAGTTGTAATGAGTGATTGTAATGAGGGAAGCCAGTCTAAAGAGAAATTCTAAAGGTTCTCCCCCTGTGGAGTGCAGTTAAAGCTTGCTTTCAGTGGAACAAAAGAAGCATTTTTCCAGCCACTGCCCGTGGGGCACTTCAGTTTGCATTGCTTCGTTTATTTCCACAGCACTAAACTTTCACATACAAAACTAGTCTGATAGTGAGCGTTTATACCTGATACTTAATGCTTTGTGGCCTGTGTTTTGCATTATTCTGAAGAGGAGGGAGCAGCATAAAGCAGCTGCTTTCACTAAGACAAAAGGCTTCAGAATAGCTGAATGTTAGCTCGTGTCTGTATCCTCTTACAGACACGGAGTTCTGACAAATGTTGTCCTACCCAAGCTACTAGTTTGCATTCTTCTGTAACCTTGTAATGAATTAAATTTCAGTTCTGAAGATGATGATTGTGCTCCTGTTCTTGCTCCTGTGGGTTCATTGCAGCAGGAAAAGCATGCTCCTGGGCATTTTTCAGTGTCTCTGAAAAAAATATGTAATAAAAGTTGTTAGCTTATGAAAGGAAACGAATGTTCATATGTATAAAAGGAACTGCTATGTAACTTAATATAACTTTTTATAAACACTTCTTGGTCTTTACGTGCCAGCAATACGTATGTCATGGATGTCTCTGTTGGTTTGTGCTCAAGGAGTAGAAGGCTATATGAGATTCGTTACAGATCCAGTCATTACTGCTCCTTGGCCATCAGGATGGCTGACTGTCAAACACAGTGCAATTGCTCATTTCCCGGTCCCTGCTGCCTTTAAAATAGGATGGTAGAACTCTGCATGGTAATTATAGACACTAAGTAGTGGCTGCCAGCCAAAAAAGGGCTGGTTGTTCAGGTTGGATGATTTGCTTGCCATTAAGTGTTTGCTCGACGCTTTGCTTTGAGTGAATAGCAAACTAAGATACTGCATTTTGCACGTTTGAGCTGTTGCATGCAAAGATAATTTTCTGCTTAGCAGGATTAAATGTGACCGTTTCTGTAAATGTGCACCAGGTTAAGGGAAAAAAAAAAAAAAAGGAAAAGATGAGTGAAGTTCTCGACGAGGTTGATCTCAGCCTTGATAAAAGATGGTATTGTTTTCTCATCATACAGGCAGAGTTATAGGTTTAGTGAATATAAAAGTTGAACGTATCTGATTGTGACTTTGACAATTGTACTTTATTATTCTGAATGCTAAGATGAACTTTAATGACTGTCATTAAGGAGGCACTTCCATGAGTTTCTTCTGTCCCTCTCCTCTGTTCTCTCCAAAAACTCAAAATGTTTTTATATCCTTTTGCTCTACTAATAAGTAGAATGTATGTATGCATGAGGGTTTTTTCTTGTCCTGATCAATGTGATGAATAATATGAAATGCTTTTCTCTGCAGATGTGGAAGCTATCCCAGAAAGCAGAAATTCAAAATGCAGGTCTAGGGAGCAACAAAGCTCCTAAATCTATTACCCACTACATGAGATGTGGGCCAAGTGGTGAGTTTTCTGCCCAAAATGTAAATGAGATTAATTTCATTTACAACAAACTAACAGCATTACATGTAAGAACAAACGCACACGGCATTAACCAGATGTAAATACTGCTTGCTTAACTGGCTTTATCTTGCTTGTTAGTTAAGCCAGAACGTGTTGTTTTAGTGCAGTTATTTTGCCTGTGGAGGTAGGGGGCTGAGCCTTTCTTTTGCCTGTAAAAATGCCATTTCTTTTTAGTTTTCAAATTTCTATTGGAGAAGAAAGTACAACAAAGGCAAACGAAGCACTAATACTGAAGTCAGTTCTTGGAAAGGGACAGATAAATCTAAAAGAACAGTTAAAACAATTTTGTTTTGCAAAGTATTCTGTCATATAAGAAAACGGCCTTTTGATAAAGCTTGTCTTTGGCATTCTGTCCTCCTTTTGACGTGATTAAAACATCCTTGATGCGTGCTGTTAGTGCTGTTAGTTCTGTTAGTGACTTAACTCTGTATTTTATACTTCTACGCTTAAGCTTTTCTTACGTTCTTTTCTCTTTCTACCTTTCTGCCTTTCAACACAGAGAGAAAAGTGTCCTTCAGTGTCTCAATATGAAGCCTTTATTTCTGAAGTAAACAAGACAGCAACTGTAGGAATCATTAATAAATATTAAGGGAATTTTTTACGTTCTTCGTGACTAGAGCAGGCAAGAAATAAAAACCTACCTACCTTCCTTCCTTCCTTGAATCAAGGAGCTCTACTGGAGTCTGCTGCCGAAAATTTGTAGATGGTCTTAGGAATTATTGCACATTGCACTGTTAAGATCTACTGAATAAAGGACAGTTCTCATCTCCCTAAGGACCAAGAATTTTAAGGTCTCAAGAATTACTCCAGGAAAAAAAAAAAAAAAAAAGCAAACAACTTCTTTCATCTTCTGTTTATGAAATTAGCCACTGATTTGCTTAAGCTTCTGCTAATACTTAGCCAAAAAAACCCAACCCATAACTTGCAGTTTATATTTACTTCTGTAAATTTAAAATAAATGCTGTAGTATTTTGTTGAAAGCGACTGTATATACAGATACAAAAACCTCTCAGCTTACTGGCACTTCCCTGCCTTATCGGTTAGCATAATCTGCATGGAATGGCTCTTTACAAAGTTTATGCTGATTTCTTTTTG